TGCCAACATTTGTTTTTATATCGACAGCTGTATCGAATTATATTGGGTATTGTACCAAATGGCATACTCCACCTGGCGTTTTCGTATAATAATTATAAAGAAATCGAAGTAAAACTCCTGAAATCCTCTGGATTCGTGCTTTCCGGGGCCCTAATTGACTGCAGAAGGACCTCCTGCGCCATTTGTGATTTCCAGGTCAAATAAATTTTCACTCCGGGACCTCGTATTCCCATCGTTTTGGCATAGAAGCGCATACAACACTTTTTTTGCCTTTATCCCGTTCAAATGCGAATTTATCGATTGCCAGAGTGTTCTAAATTGTCGTAAAATTGTCCTGACCCTTCCGATTCTCATATCAGGGCCTTCGATAATTGTATATTGATCGAAATATGAGAGCTCGACGCCATTTTGGTTCTGGTCTGGGCTGAGTTAAAAAATTTTGTCCAAAAATCCAAATTTTGAAGCAGTGTCAGGACAATTTTTAGACGATCAGCAGTCATGTGTCAAAGTTTCGGACAGTTTGGTCCAATCCCCTTAAAAAAAAGTGTTGTATTCGAATCGACTGATTTGAAGGGGGTTTCACTTCACCTTAAACCCGGATACAATGACTACTCGAATTTAATCAACCCCTAGAATAAAACATTTCCTGCTACAATAATTACGCCGGAATGACGGGACGGAATTATCATTTCTTTTTTTCTAATTAGAATTTCAGCTGAGCGAATGGAAAATAAAACCGGTGCCGTATCCGGGGCGCTAAATCACTCAGGGTCGCGCCTCCCTCGGCCGTTACGAGCGCACAATAAAAAATTTAATCAAAATGCCCTCTTGGTAATTTACAGCTCGTACTCTCAACCCTTGCCGCGGGGGAGGGGGACGGCCAGACGGGAACGCGATCTCTCGTACTTATGCAAACCGATGGCTGGAAGTGGTCGGGGGTGGCAGGAAAAGAACGGCGAACTCCTTAAAAGCGACAGCTTCTGTTTGTTCCCAAGGGATGCTGTAATACTCCCACCCCTCCGGAGAATCCGCTCGTTTGCCAATATTAAAGCGGCGGTTGATCATCATCTTCGGACTGGTCCTGCGAATTAAAAATCCCCCCCTTGGTTCGTTCCGGGTGATATGAAAGAGTCAGCCTATAGGGTAAAGTACGGATAGACGCCACGTTTTCCAGAATTTTAAAAGAAATTAACTTTTAGCGACCTGATGTCCCTGCTTGCATAGCCTCTCCCCTCGGCACTTCATTTACGACGCAACCCCCACGAGGCATACACGTGCGTAGGGTTACGATTGCCTAAAACAATCGGTGCCTCAGATTTGCCCGTAAAGGTTTGTCTGAACTCTAAGCAACTACTGTAAAAGTAGAAAACTAACGCGTAAACTAACCCTAGTAGCACAAAATATTTGTTCTATATTTCCTATATATTTAACGAATATCGTACATTTTGTAAATATTTAGCAGACATTGGAAATATTTGCAAAACGTTTACTTTAGAATATTATCTCTATAATATTTATATAATATTAGCTCCATGTGTTTCCATAATATTTTTCCATAAGATATACAAAACATTTACAAATTTGTACCAATGTTACCGTACGAGAATAATTCGACGTTATATTATATTAATGTATCTATTGATTAACATTCGGTATATATCATGTTGTTCCGGTGTTATGTAACCATAACATAGGGTGTTTGGTGGGGTATATCGTTGCGTGAACGAGAAGGGTAAAATGGTCCAATTAAAGGACAAAAGAGCCGGAATCGGGATCGATGTCCTCGAAAGCACCTCGGACCGGCGTATATCGTAATGGCGGCTCGGTCGAGGCTACAGGTGCGAGTCGTAATAACACGGCAGATTTGCCCTCCGACCTCCCCAACCCCCTGCGCAGCCAGAACTTCACTGGCGCCGCAACGATCGGCCACGCGGAACCACCGCAATCAACGTCCTCGCGTATCAATCGCCACGGAATCATTATCGTGATATTAGGTGGCATTACGGTCTCGCGATGGCCCTTACGCGGCCGGCTGAAACGTGACACGTAACGACGCGATTCTCCCCGGAGGTTTCGCGCTACCCTTTTATTTCGCCGACTCGACCCTAGTACTGGCGTCCCGACTTGCGATTCATCTCGTTCCCGATCTTAAGGTGAAGTGAAACCCCCTTCAAATCAGTCGATTCGAATACAACCCTTTTTTTTGAGGGTATTAGACCCTAGTACTGGCGTCCCGACTTGCGATTCATCTCGTTCCCGATCTTAAGGTGAAGTGAAACACGTCGAGGAACTTGATCGACGTCGATAAAGAAGGTTTTTCTAAATGCCTACGTTGCCGACGTTGGTTTTTATATAGACAGCTGTGTCGAATTATATTGGGTATTGTATCAAATGACATACTCCACCTGTCGTTTTCGTATAATAATTATAAAGAAATCGAAGTATAACTCCTGAAATCCTCCGGATTCATGCGTTCTGGGGCCCTAATTGACTGCAGAGGAATCCCCTGCGCCATTTATGATTTCCAGGTCAATTAAATTTTCACTCCGAGACCTCGTATTACCATTGTTTTGACATAGAAGCGCATACAACACTTTTTTTGCCTTTATTCCGTTTAAATGTGAGTTTATCGATTACCAGGGTGTTCTAAATTGTCGTAAAATTGTCCTGACCCTTTCGATTCTCATATCAGAGCCTTCGATAATTGTATATTGATCGAAATATGAGAGCTCGACGCCATTTTGGTTCTGGTCTGAGCTAAGTTACATTTTTTCCAAAAATTCAAATTTTTAATCAGTGGAAGGACAATTCTTAGATGATCAGGAGTGATGTGTTAAAGTTTCGGAAAGTTTGGTCTAATACCCTTAAAAAAAAGTGTTGTATTCGAATCGACTGATTTGAAGGGGGTTTCATTTCACCTTAAGATGACATGAAAGGCGCTGAGAAATTTAATCCACGGCGATCCTATTCTATTTAATCCATGTCGTATTCTAAATTCTTCGAGCTAGGCCCTGAAACTCTTCATTTTCGATTCTAAGCATCCAAGAAGCGTAAAACATCGAAAACGCGCACGGACCACGCCACGTTGGTTCTAGTACATTATAGGTAAATAAATTTGTTACGAAAAATGATATATCATGAGTTTCAGGATCTACTTTAGGGCCTCCATATTCACGTGGTAAAATTTGAAACGTATCGGTACATCCAATTCGGAGAATACTTTCCCCAACGATTTAACTTCTCATATATATATATATATATGTAGGCTGATTCTTTAGTGTCACCTTAAGATGAGATGAAAAGCGGTGAGAAATTTAATCCAGGTCGATCAATTAAAATTCACTTATACCCTTTTTGGCGATAACGTCTTTTTGAATACCCAAGTGGGAACATTAGGTGGCTCATCCCGTTACCGACATTTATATTTTTGTTGAAGTCTTTTACAGTGTAAATTGAGAATTATACGAATTGAAGCTTTGTGTCATTTCGGTAAAATAATGATGAAGAGATCGACGTAAAGCTGTCGAAATCCTGGGAATTTATTATTCTAACGAATGTTTAAGGCACATCAATTGTCGCTCTTAAACGGGTTATTGCGTATTGTCTTCGGATTAAATCGAAAAACGAAGATTGATAGCTTCAAAAGCTTATCACGTGCATAAATGTAACGATCATCTTTACATACTGGACAAACGATAGATGTTAAAAATGTGCTAACATAGGTTTGTGAAGGCGCTTCGCACGTTTACCCGACCGATATTCATTCTTTGCAATGACTTCTTAGCCTTCATCGCGAAAGCATCACGTTCTTCCTTAAGGCCTTCACAATATTGTACAAGTTTCAAAGCCTTTATCGCGAAAGCATCACGTTCTTTCTTAGCGCCTTCACAATATTGTACAAGTTTCAAAGCCTTTATCGCGAAAGTATCGCGTTCTTTCTTAGGGCCTTCACAATCATGTACTGAAGTTTCAAATGACTCGGTCTCTCCCCAGTTTGGAGAAAAGTTTTATAAATATTTTGACGTTTTGATATATAGAATCGCCCTTTCATATCACCTGAATAAAAAGAAACTATCTTGAATAAGTACGGTAAGTACTGTCGCCCAGATCATTCCTGAACTCGGGTTCAGAACTTGCGTTTGATGTGAAGAGAAATACTTACGGAAAGACATGTATCACCTCGTCTAATAAGTGAAGTATCTCATTGTCATTGTTTGGTGTCGTGAGAAATACGTACGGCAAGACATGTGTCAACCCGTGTAATAAGTGAAGTATCTCATTGTCACTGTTTGGTGTTGTGAGAAATACTTACGGAAAGACATGTATTACCTCGTGTAATAAGTGAAGTATCTCATTGTCATTGTTTCGTGTCATGAGAAATACTTACGGAAAGACATGTATTTATTTCGTCTAATAAGTGAAGTATCTCATTCTCATTGTTTGGTGCCGTGAGAAATACTTACGGAAAGACATGTATCACCCCGTGAAATAAGTGAAGTATCTCATTGTACGAAGGAAAGGAGAAACTCTCTGTCATACGGCTCCAAAGGAACTTAAACGTTACCGGCAGCCTCGCGTCTTACCAAGTTTTAAAGCAGCCCTGTTCGAAGGGTGAAAAAGTTCGGGTATCAAGGAGGGCTTCCATGGGACGTAGGACTTAGGGCGCAAAACTTAGAATATAAAAGATTAACCGCGAAGTGCAACCGAGCGTTTCGTACAACATCTTTGCTGCGTGGCATTTAAAATTTTTCGCTCCAAGTCTTCGTCCCAACTTTGGAAGAGGGTGTCCCATTGAGTAGTGCCCTCTAAAAACACCCTTCAAAAGTCCTCTTTTTCATCGGACATCATTAGGGAAATTGAGTAGAAAGTCGAAGCAACCAAAATTTCTATGAATTGTTTCAGGGAAATGCTCGCAGTAGAAAATAAAAATCAAAACGTATGTAAGTCCGCACCGCAGGAACTCCACGATAACGTCCATTAAGAAATCACAAACAGCACAGTTTCCTTCCAAAACAAGTTTTATTCCTTAAAAGAACATCCAAATGCTTAAACATAGTTCACGAAAGTAAAACGTCAAACCTAGTTTAACTGTAGTACGTGTCGGGGGTTAACAACGTTGGGAGTTCTCATGACCCGTGGGCCAGTGTCTTAAAACCTTTCCTTTAAAACGAAAGAGAGGCCGGTTAACATTTGAAAATACTACTTCTCTCCCACCTCGATTTAGCGTCCTGTCGAATATCGCAGTAGCTACTAAGCGTTCGTTCTGGACGTCTACGACAGGTTTAAAAAAGGGTGCCACTTACTGCTGGCAGGTCGTACCTCGGGTTCATTGTTTTAAATTAACTTCTCGGCTGATTCCTAATAAATCGCAAGCGCAAGAAATGCTATCGGTAAGTAGTTGCTAAATCTCGGATTTCGATTGTCTAGAAAATGACCCATTTGATTCTACTATGACAAAGAAGGAAAAGTTTAATTCGGTAAGTCCTGTTAGTGCCTACCAAGGGTGGAGGATCACGGCAAGTTTCTAGAGCCTCGAAATCCTAGTTTTTTGATCATGACGTTATATCGCTGTAAAAAAGAAAAAAAAGAACGATGTGGAAAATAAAAAGCCATTTCAGGCAAGAGTACTTAGGACATAAATTGACCTCAAAATCACCCTAGTTTCTGCGACGTCCTCGAAAAGTTCAGAATCGGAAGTCCGAGCGAACGGTTTCGTTTCGAAGTCTCTTGGCCCTTGAACGTTCCAGTGCTGTGATAATACATAATTCAATTGCAGTGATAATATCGATACAGTAGAAAATCGAACGCATTAGCGATCTCATTCTCACCCTGCCTTCGCTACCCTTCTATGTATGTACAACATGCATTATTATACTTTGCAATACTGTTACTTAGATATCCCTTACTCTTTACGTTCATGCATATCGATAAGCATATTACGAACATGTAAAAAACACAAGTATCTCTACTCTAATTTACGTCAAAGTCAATGTAAATGTACGATCAGAATTATTTACAATTGGTCGGGTTATCGGCCAATTTGTATTATTATTTCTTTTTTTTTTTTTACGTTTCATTGTGACATCTTGTACGATGTGCTCAGAGGCAAATAAGTGACCGTTCTTTTTATAAAAGTAAATCAAATGAACTTTCATATTTTACGTACTCTCACGCAGAGAAAATAAACTCGCACTTTGCACCTCTTTTTTCCTACTTTACTTGAAATGAAAATTCGTCCGATATCGGAATAATCAAGGTGCGTTAATTAGTGAAAAGTTAATAAAAAAAATGTATGATTCACCTATCCTCTCTGATCACGTCCTAAGGTTCGTTCACTCCTTTACCATTACTCAACCATTAAAGCCATTAAACGAGTGGACACGAATAAAGCACTTGATACAATAGATGCTCGATACTACACTCTTGTAAGACACGCTTGTAATTGATCGTAATTATATTTTTTTTACAACAGTCACGATTTCGCCCTAGTCGCATAGTTTGTGTTAGGTTAGCTTACGAGTCATTAAATTCGCGTACTTAATCATATACCATGCATGAATGTTATAATTAGCTCGTGAAATGAGGAGCATAGTCCCTCGTATGAACAAAGTTAACATGCACTGTTCAGCCTTCCGGAACATTCAAGTCCCAACATACAAATTTCCTGATTTCGTTTTTTATATCATCTTTTCCCGGATTTATTCCGTGAATAAAGTTTACGTCATTCAGAAAAATAATGTATAGTACTGCCCGGCTTAGGTTCTCATTAGACAGTGCAAAAATATAAAAATCGGTTGTCGTCCTAAAACGTTTGTGCAAGAGATTCTACTTATCTAAAATCGTTAGAGGTCAGGGCTCTCCGTCAGAATATTCGCTAAAAGTTTATAAAAATATATAAAAATTGGCACAGCAACCATTAAGTCCTTCGGTACGAAATTATCTTTTAAATGACGTACTTAGCACTTATACTACGATCTTCGAACAAACCTCGAATGACGAAGCAGGCTAGTCTTACCTCTCACTCGTCGACCCGGACTTCCTTTACATATTTACATCGGGTATACGTGCTTTCTAGGTGTTTAACAAAAGCTTTTATTTAATTAGGAGAAAAGTATGTCCTACGTAGTAAAGAACATTATTTTTTTTTTCAAGTGTTTTCTATTTCCGCTTCGAATAAGACACACACATGTCCGTAAAAGTACCACTGGTCAAGAAGAATAAAAATAATATAAAAAATTGATAATTATCGGGAAATTACCGAAATCAATCACCTATAAAATATTTTACGTGATATGATAGAAATGCGACATACTTTTCTCCGTGTTTCGCAAGCTGTGACTCATCGTTATATTAATAAGCAAGTCGAAGATTATAAGTTGCGATAGAAAAGGTTGAAGAAAAAAAAATATATATATATACGTATCGCACTTGCACAAGCTTAGGTTCAAGTCATGTTAACGTTACCAATATGAAGAAACAGCTACGAACGAATTCGCTGCCGTTTCGTTAATCTGGTACACGTTTATGTTATTAAGTCGATAGAAAAAGAGATACAGCTAACGAATTCTTTTTTTTTCCTTTTTTCTTTCCTCCGACGATAGTAATACTTCTATCGTACTCGACCTACAATGGAAGTTTGTGCTAGTATCAGCAAGATATTAAATCCAGCCTGAAACAGGTACTAACGCTACCAACTCCGGTTTGACTTAGATCACTGATAAAATAAAGTAAAAATAAAAACAGATCTTCAAAATTCCAAACGAAAATTATTGTCTCATTACGAGGTACAATGTATCGTTTCGAATAATGCGCTTCTTTCGAGCAAGCATCTGTGAGTTAAAATCTTAGAGTGCAAACCTCGTACAAAAGTGTAAACCAAGTCCACGATAAGTCACTGATACGTTAATTCGGTGGACGAGCATTTCTGTCGTAAATGAAAACAAATCAACCGTGCAACGAGGGCTTAACATTACAGTACTTTTCTAAAAACAGCCGGCATGGCCAACAACTTTGGAAAAACAAATGATTATTTTCTTAATTTTTGGCACAAAATTCCTCGTCGAAGCGTCTTACGACTGGATATGCTTAAAATAGTACACTGATTAAGCTTTCACTATCGATTATCGAACGATTGTAATGAAGGCCGAACTTATGAATTATAAATAAACTAAAACCATTTTACACAGCGGTTTGTTCTCAAGTCCTGTGACTCTACAAAAGAAGAAACGTATCAGTATAGGCCCTCGTTTTCCTTTCACCAATGGAAAGTGAAACTTCCATTGTAGAGTGAGTCTACAACTCATGAACAAAGTGTAAAAATACACTCAAAGACGAACTTAATGATCGTCACCGCGATCGTAGCCTTCTACCGGCACTTGTATACATATATATTTATATATTTATATAATACTTACATTTAAATATAATATTTCATCGCTTTATGTCTCGTAAGTATATTATACTCTTTATATATATATATGTTCAGGTACTTTATATACATTATTACGTGTAGATAAGGCAGTTGAAACGGCCCTGCGTTTAACGACACATACCTTAAATGCAGCGTTTACTTCAAATCTGGATCGAACTTCTTGTCAAAGAAGTTGACACCTCGTGGAGTCCGTCGATAAGAATAAATAAATTACATTGCGATTAGTTCGCGTAGTCTCGGGGAGAAGTACTTTGTCCAGTACGTTCGATTGCACGTAATGCGGATTCTAGGATGGCTAATGCTTTGTAAAATACTACCAGTGTTCTCGCAATGAAACCCGGTAAGAGGTTCCATTAGCGGAGGCTAATTGCTCCATTGAGCGACGTAAATTATCGTAGGTGCTATTTAATGAGGAAAAATTGATGAAAAAATGAAAGCAGATCAAATCACAGATATCTCCTATCGACGTGTTAAAAAACATAATTTTTTCTTTTATTGGGTTGTTTGGAAAGTTCGTGCCGATTTTTAAGTCCCGATGCCACTTATCGAAAATCGACACGAACTTCCCGGACAATCCAATATCATGTATTTCATGTTATTATTAATGTATACCGTTTGGAACGTGAATTTAAAAATGAAAGTTAACTGGTTCAAGTGTCCCGTTTCATTTGTTGATCAATTTTTCACTGCTGACGGTGGCCGACGTTCATTGTGTTGATTTGTGTACGTAGGCTATTCACATCTATCTAAGCAATCGTCACTATTACCATTACGGCGAACACATGCGTAAGTACTTGATTGAATGAACCAAGTAGTATGTCGATAAGTGCAAAGCCTTATGCATCGTTTCATTCTCGAGCCTTAGTTCACTCGATCTAAGTGAAAGAAGTTCAAATCCCCCTCTCGCTAAAAGTCTAAAGTTGCACTTTATAAATATTAGGAAAATAATTGACGCGGCCGGATGATTCGGCGGAACGGCCATCGGTGTAAAGCTGACTAACAATTGGCACACAAAAATAACTATCCAGACGTACGACCCAATGGAAAAAGGAAACGAAAGGTGCGAAACTAACGTACCTCTATTTGCTGCATAGTCTCTATCTACACATTGTGCATTGAAACTTCATTCGGTTCGAATAGCATTGCAATCTGCAGTCCTTCTATGGCAGAGGGTAATTAGACTTTCAATATTTAATTCCAAAGAATTCTTGGAAACAGATTTCTACATTTTCAGTACTTTGCCCTGCATAAGACCGACTCGTTAAACGCATTCCACGTTAAATTTTCTTATATGAAAATCATGTTCCTGGGGTAAAAAGTAATGATTGCGTTATTCGTAAACGTATTTTAAGTATATGAATTGTATGGGACATTTTAAATTTCTGACCACTTACTGGTGAACATTAAGTTTTAAAACTTTATATAACAATTAGGTCTCTGAAACAAACATGCTATTGTAAAAAATGTTGTTTACTTCCTGCAACCCAATTAAGTAGCTTTTCTCTCACGAGTCTCGCAGTCTTTGTTCGTGCTTCAAATTATCAACACATCATAAAAGCGACCTCAAACTTCGAATCTGTCGATAGATAGCTTTATGGTTCGATGACATAACCATCTAGTCGTTATACATTCCTGCTCTTAATAAATTGCCACAATTGTACAATTGTGATCATTACTTTGATTTCGGCTAATCAACTCCAAAGACATTGCTTCGTGCGAATTATTCCTAGGTAAAAATGCAGGACATGTATTATAATGAAATAACCTTTAATCCTTAAATGGAAAATCGGTATAGTCGTTCTTTGTATATCTGTCAGTTTAGTATATGCAGTTTACATAGAATTTGGAGCACATCTATTAAGGTGATATGAAAGGTATTGAGAAATTTAATCGACGGTGATAAAGTAACATTTATCTATGCACTTCTCGGTGGTAACGCCATTTTGAATACCGACGTGGTAACATAAGTGGGCACGCCACGTTACCAACATTAATATTAATGTTTACGTCTGTTGCGTTCCACATGGAGAATTATGCAGAATAGAATGATTGTAAAGAGATCGAACTAAAACTCAAGAATTCCCCTGAATACATGATATTTGATACTCTATTGGACCAACGTCGCCATCTGTGACGTTCAGCTGCAACTAAATTTTTGCTCTCAAAAACACGTGTTACCCACGAGGCAAGCCAGCATTCTTTTGCAGTCGTTCATGAAAGTATTTCCCATATTTTCTCATCTGACTCTGTAATATTCAATTACCATAGTATTCTAAATTGTCAAGCTAGGTCATGAAACTTTCATCGTTTTCGATTCTAAGCCTTCAAAATTCTAGTCCTTGATAGATACATTTTTTTTTATAAAAAAATAACGTTTCATGAGCTTCAGTACCTTCCTTGGGGCTTCCATATTCACGTTTCATAAAGTTTCAAACGAATCGGTACTTTAGGTTCGGAGAAATATTTCGTAAACGATTAACCTCTCAGATATACATGTACAATGACACTTTCATAACACCTTAATGTTTCTACTTTGCAATGGAGACGTAGTAGAGATATTAAATATTTAGAGAAAGGGTATAAAGGCACATACCTGCATTATATTGAAATATCCTGCATTAATCAGCAATCCGATTGCTTTTCATTGTGAACCTAAGCACATTAAAGTAATTACCGAATAATCAAATATTCCAACTTTCTTCCTGCTTGAGCATTTTTCATTAATTTCATCACAGAAATAGTGCAGAAAAAACTAATGTTGTCGAACGACATTTAATACTTCTTTAAAGGATATGATTTAACTCATTGCAAACATTAATTACCATTTATAATTGTCGTTTTTTATATTTATTCCTCCTCGAGCTTGTTTCGATAACGCATCATGGTGTATATTTTGGCAATTTTATACTTAATGAAATATTAAATTTACATAATTTCGTTTTAATATTTAGAAGTAATTTTAAATGTCGTCGAATCACCCTTGAATTTTCATAGATTATTTATATGATAAAAAAATGAAAATTTTGTGGAAAGAATTATGAAACTTTGATTCCTTGGCGATTACTCTATTGTGCATTTTTTGGTTAATTTACTGTGCAAATGTTATGAGGCCGTGCAGCGTCTAACTATACTTTATGAGGTATTATTTTGATAAATATAAGTTACTTGAGAAACTCGTACAAAACTCCTTCTTCAACATTATTCATATAATTCTACACCTCGTGTCAAACCCTGCACGAATTCAATGCAAAGAAAACGCCTAAGTAGTACTTCCTCCTTCGAATCTTACATTAAGTATTAGACTTTTTCAATCTGTTTCGATTTCTAATTCACTTCTAATTCTTTTAACGAGCATCAATGCATAAATACGTGGTATTTACGCTATTTCTATGCCAAAATTATTTTTCTCTCGTTGTCTTTTATTCAGATCTATAAGAGTCCCCCCTTTCCGATTTGCCTATAGTACACTAATTATTCATACGATTGCCGAAACTATTAGAAAAATTGCGTAATGGCAGCGATAATTTAACAGGCACTTCAAATTGACAAAAGTCTATCCCTTGTCAGTGACTGCATCGTATTGTCCTCACGTAGATAGGCACTATGATCCATTCGGAGCTTCAAATCATTACTCCGAAACATACATTGAGGTTTCCCACTTCATGAGCAATTCCACAATATTGCGTTCTCTCCTTTTCTTTCTAAAAGATACTTTTGTACGTTGAAGGGGTCTTCTAGTCTAGAAGTCTGGAAAAACAGATTATTTAGTGCAACTTCGGATAATTTAAGCTTCCGAAAAAGAACCTGCAATCTTCTTCAATTCGCAAACGTAAAAGAATTGTAAAGGTCTGCAGGAAAGAGCGCGACACACCTAGCGTGCATAAATTAATAAATCGCAACTGAGTTAATAGTGTTTGTGACGTTAAAGATATTTGTACTCCTAGAAAGAACTTCTTTCGGCGAGGAGAAATTACCTTTACAGTCCTGGTCTGGCTAATTAGCTGTGAGTAAAAGTATGCAGAAGCATGTTCATTTCATCGGAACCGAAAAATTTAAAATCCGTTTTCTTCTGAACGACGTTTTACATGACGGCATACACGATAAATCTAATGTTCTATTGGACCAATTTGGTCCAACTTTTTCGTACACCTTCGGAAAACATGCACTTCTAGGAGGCAACAGAATTAAGTCGAAATATTTTGTTTAGAAAATTTTCCAGCCATTTAAGATCACAAAGGTCGAATAATCCAAAATCAAATTTCAAAGTCCCGCCATTTTGTGACTTTTTCTATATTCCTTTTTAATATAAATCTACTACCTGATATACGCCGGAAGAAAACGTCTCTTTGATCGCGGTCTATTCGATTACCTGTACCTCCAATCACTGTCCGTATTTACAGATGAGAACATTTTTAAAATATATCAAAACACCAAGAAATATTTGTTCATAAAATTCATGGTAAAAGAACTATATAACTTCTTGTTAACTTAATTTTATAGAGAAACTGAAATACGGTCCTCTAGACTAGAAGATCCCCTTAATAATGATTACGCTCTGAATGCAAATGCATTTTACAGGACATAAACATTGAAATTATGGTTACAGTACAGCGGATCAGACCACGCCAGACTAGATTCAACTGAAATACATTTCTTATAGACGTGCCTACATATTGCCGTATCTGATACGGCCTAATCTGATTAGATCTAATATGAGCAAAATACAGCTAAGACTGTAAGAAGTAATATGTTCATTTCAGTCGGATCTTGTCTGCATAGGTCTAATCTAATCGGTCTTAGTCTCGTACAAGATGCTTCAAGAGGATATATAACATTTAAAAAGTATACTGCGAATAAAAATTAATAAATTAATGTGTGAACATTGACAAATCATTCCATGTTTTTCTCTCTCCACAAGGGATGTTCCTTGCCACGTTTCCTCGTAAACATATGGAGTTCTTAAGATTGAGAAAAAAAGTCATCAGAATATTTCTTAAGATTGAAAAAAATAAAAAGACCTCGTAAGAATCTGTTACGTCTTGCATTGTTACGTAATTCCCGTTTGAGATTGTGACAACACGGGTAGGAAAAAATCCAAAAGAACGACCATTTTCGGCTAGTGTTCCGGTGATATTACCCTGTATACTATTGATAGGTAAGCGGTAGAAGAGTCTCTAGGAGAGCATAAATAAAAATAAATAAAACAGAGATCAGTTTAACAGTCTACAAGAAAATTGCTATAGTAACGTCGATGCAAAGCTTTTGATGTTACGGACCTTCAACACTTTAAACCAAATCTCAACGTACCCTTGAAAAAGAGACAAAAGAGATTAAATATTCAGATACTCGAATAAAATCACCTGAAACGAGTTGATTACATTTAAATTCTCATTTATAGTACAACATATGGCAGCCGAAGTAGATCTCGGATCAATCGAGTCAAGTCACATCTTGTACGAGATGTAAAGAATGATAATCATGATATCATGAAATTCACAAATTGAAAACACCGAACCATTAATTCATTAAGAACTGCCATTATCAAAACCCGGTGCCGATAAGAAGTAGCACTCCCTTTTCCTACAATGCAAATCCCCTTGTAAAGTCGTATAAAAAGTCCCATCCTGGAGTGTGAAATTTCATTTCCCGCATGACGCCTTCAATGATAATTGACTGCAAAACGCAATTACAGCGATGTTAAAAGCGCCTACCACTCGTCATCATCGGATGACCTACGAAAATGTAAACCCGTGTTTTACATACAAGTGTACCGAGTACACCAGAAGTCTTGGTATACAAGACAGTCGTTAATGGTTGCCATATTTGTCCAACAGACAATTGGACAACTTCGCCTACATCAGTTCAGCGACTGAACCCGAATCTCCTCCCAAACGCCTCCCCAGCTGTTTAGCAAACAGTGTACTATCAGAGAATAAATCCACTGATAAACATTCCCGATCATTCCGAGCCAGACCGTGTGACTCCAGCAGGAACAACCACGAGTGACGACCACTAGACATTATCGCACTCCAGGGTGCCGCCATTATCAGGACCGTATCCAAACTTCTGCACACAGGCCAGCGACGACTCGCCTTGTACCAAACATCAATTGGTACTTCCAGAAGACTGGAAGAGACTTCGTCGCACAAACTTGACACAGAGACACGAGTCCAAACTTGTAGATATCTTTGACAAAACATAAGAATCACATACGATACCTACAAGAGGAACCCAGTGCCTCGCATTTCGAGCTCCTTTTCGAAAAACCACCAAGTCCAGCCACTTCCCCCAGCGAGATCTACCAGCCTGCTGCAGAATGACTGATCCAACTAACCAAAAGGCCAAACCCGACCAAGGTGGATCCGGATGTCTCCGTCCCATTTCCCCAATTTGTCGGCAGAGTCTTACAACTACCAATGACTGGCGAGTCATCTTTCGTTCGGCATTTGGTCTCCTTCATACCGGAGGTGGTCCTCGAACGTATCTCAGCTGGGGAGTCAGGTAGAGATTTAAGGTGTTCGAGGCCTCGCAGCAGTGTGGCTCCAAAAGGTAGGCTGCACAGAAGAGGGCAACAAGAGCCAGTTGGAATGGCAGGGCCGATCGAAGGACTCGCCAAATCCAGCTGGTTGGTTCACCGGGGTCGTCTTCTGGGTCATCATCGGCCAAGCCACCAGGTGGTCGTCCCCGGATCGGGTGCTCCGATTTTGATGCGTTCCTCTTCGGGCGATTGGACTCCTTCTTGATGTTCCTGCAATGATAAAAAACGATCTCGATGATTGACTCACGTATTCGGACAGGAAAGATCGCACACTCGGTCCCGGAATCGCCGTAAAACGGCCCCTGGATCGGACATAAACGGCCGAGTCGCCTCGCCCAGGAACGGAACCTAATTACGGAGAATTTCCTTAACTTATTTACAAGGAGTTTATGGCCTGGTCCTCGGTAAATGGTCCTAATTATCAGAATGTCGCTTAATTATTTACACTTGGCCACAATGTCACTTGAACTTATAGTCTTTCTTTGGTACCTCTTTTACTCTTCAAAGATATGCACCCCATTCTAAAAGAAACTCAGAGCAATTTTTTATGCGCAAGTTAAATAAACTTAGGACGTAATTATCAACACTTAAGATGATATGAAAGGCGCTGAGAAATTTAATCGAGGTCGACAAATTATAATTCAGGGAGACCCTTTTTGGTGGTAACGTGACTGTGAATATTTAAGTGGTAACATAAGCGACACGTTGTCGACATTTATATTTATGTTGAAGTCTTTTACCGTTTACGTTGAGAATTATACGAACTGAAGCGTTCCATGTGTCATTTCCGTAAAGTAATGACGAAGTAATCGACGTAAAACTGTCGAAATCCCGTGAATTCCTTATTCTATCGACTGTTTAGGGCCAACGACGCCATTTGTGACGTTTGGCTGCAACTAAATTTTTGCTCAAAAAACGCGCGTTAGCCCCGAGACAAACCAGCATTCTCTTGCAATCGTTGGTGAAAGTATTTTCCATTTTCCTATGTGACTCTATACTATTCCATTTCTACGGTATTCTAAATTGTCCAAACTAAGTCCTGAAACTCTTCATTTTCGATTCTAGACGTCCAAAAAGCGTAAAATATCGAAAACGTGCACGGACCACGGCATGTTGGTTCTAGTGCATGATAAATAATTAAATTTTTTATGGCAAATGAAATTCCGTGAGTTTCAGGGTCTACTTTAGGGCCTCCATATTCCCGTGGTAAAATTTGAAACGAATCGGAACATCCAATTCGGAGGATACTTTCCCCAACAATTTGACTTCTCAGATATACATAGGCTGACTCTTTCATATCACCTTAATCTCTTTTCTTGATACTACTTTTTTTTTTTCAATGGAACTCCCTAATGCTTTAGGAAAATATGCTTATCGTTAATCAAAATCCGGAGCAATCAATGACAAACCCAAGCATTCGTCATTTTAGAAAAGTGGAAGTATTATTAAAATTTTACACATCTTGCAATTGAATCTACAAGTATGGTACCATCCGAAATCATGTCTGATTGAACTCAAAGGTACTCCTCTCACGGGGCCTAAAATGCATAAACAATGGGAACGACATGAATCTCGTCATAAACATTCATAGCGTCGTGTCTCAGATGGGTGCACCTTGCTTCGGCCATCGATATTCCTTCCCGGAATGCGAGGAAGCGGAGGTACGACGAACGTGACGAGGAAGGAGTACGGGCATCCCTAGTCCCGAGTTTTTACACCCCCTTTTACGACGCAATACTGAGGACGCTTCCACCTCGCGAGAACTAAACCTATTACCGGCCCTACAAGAGCCCCCTGGAACACAGATCTATAAAAAGCATCCTTAAAACAAAGTTAAATGAGGTGGCCAGCGGTAATTTCACCGGGTCCCGTTGCCCCCTGGGGATGGACGAGTCGGGGGTGCGACACCTGTAATAAACACACCCGCGGGACCCGCTGCTTCCACGTATTGGCTTCGCGCCAATGTTAATGAAACTTTAGGGTGAAAAAGTGAGGCCCGATGAGGCGCCAAGCAGCTTATGAAAGGCTATAATTCATTTCCGCAGCTGTTGTCCCCGATACGCCCCCGGCGCTCCTCCAGGGCCGCTTCCATCGGGTGCCAAACCTGCTGCATCAATCGTCAATTTGAGCCCAGACCCTCCTCGGATAAACGCCTGTTTTCCTTGGTAGCGGTATCCGATAACTCTTGCGAGTCCAATAAAATGTACATATCCTGGAACCTGAGTTTTCCTTCTTGAAAGAGTAATATGAAATGTAAGGTAACTTTGGGTAATAAGGCCCATCCGGGGAGCAAGGGCCATGCTTATATTTCACCATATAGCAAAAGTGCAATGCTTGTGGCTCCCTCTGCCAGTTAGTAGGATAATGAAAAGCCCATGGTAAACTGAGATTGATAAGAAATATTTCCGAGGGAATTTTATCAAATTTGCTTGCAGCGTTCAAGCTGTTTGTCCCAAAGTTTTGTGAAGTCCTGCTCTGTTTAGCAGGTATTTAGTACCTTATACTTTTCCCTACATCCTGTTGGATGGGTTTTGTTGAAAAGGTTTGTTGTTTCAGAAATTATACCTTGGAAATGTAAATTGCATCGAACGGGGAATAAGGCCCGGCATAGGGCAACACATTGCAACCAAAGGTCATTTTAAAAAAGGACAGGAAACTATGACTAGTTGCAGCAATTGCAACGTCACAGCAAAATTTAAGCGAAATACTTGAAGAAAAACGAAGCTTAGCATCTCAAAGAAGACCGAGAACTGGGACCGCAGCCTTTACCAAGAAAATAGGGTTACCGATGTGCGGCAACGTGCCCTGTGCAAGAAACGGCTCTACGAAGAATGCTCGAAGACAACATTCGAGGATCTTGATGACATAACTTGCCCTAACTGTTGAAATTAACGCGCATCCTCCGATCGATGTCCATGAGCCTTATTACCAACACGTTCAGGTAACAAAGCCCAGGAGCCGCATGCTAAAATTTTTTTAATTACGTATTTATTTAAAATGATATTTGCTTTTTATAGTGTCTACTTGAAACAAACATTGCTCACGTACCCCTTGCTCATGCCCCCTTCCCAAAATACTTTACACTTTAATTTTTTCAGGCCTTTCAAGCTATGGCGACCTTATTACCCAAAGTTACCTTACTCCATGCCATCCGGATGTAAAAGATCCACGATATAAAACCCCGTCGGGAGAAAATGCGATATACAGTTGAGACAGTTCTCCATAGTTCGAATCTTCCTGGAGAAGGAACTTTGTCCTTGCCGACTCTGCCGAGAAGACCGCCGTCATCTGGAAAAAGACAACGTCTCGAATGGAAGAGAAATTCCACTCACTGGGTGAGATCTGCTTCGAGCTGGCCAAGAGATTGACCCTTGGAGCGTGCCTCGGCGGTGACGGCCGTCTGCACGATCAGATGCCGACACTGCTTCTGCAGGTTGCGGAGCTCCGCCTCCACGTCCTCGACCCTCTTGGAGAGGTCGACCAGGGCGACGCTGCCCGGGGTCAGCTGGGCCTCCAAAACGCGAATCAGTCCGCGAAGAGCCGCCAGACGCCTCTCTCGCTCGCTCAATTCTTGCTCACTTCCGCTGTCGGAGATCCCGCTGTCGGAAAGGGAGCCGCCCTCGTGCGCGAGCGTGCCCGTCACTATTAGCGCGCCGGTGTTCGCCAGGACGACCATGTTGGTTCCCTCCGTTGCGACGCTACCCGGGCCGGTGCCGTTCTGGAATGAGAAAGGCAAAATATTGTATCACCGAAACAAATAATTGGAACAGTAAGCAGACTTTAAAAATGCCGTTAAACAATTATTACTTTGGCATACGTCGTAACGTCGTAACATCATAACTGCACATATGGGGCTGGTTCTCCCAATATTTGAGTTGAAGTTCTTAAGGCGATATGAAAGTTTCAGCCAAAGCGTGAAATGGCCCGAAGTATGACCGACATTTTTGTTGTTTGTGGCACGCGCTATTAGAATTTAAATCCCAAGATAAGGGGTTAAGTTTCCAGTTAGGGACTCTGCCGCCATTATCGTAAACTCAAAACTGCAAAATGATGAAACGGCCCTTCTTAGTCACTTTAGCAAAAATAGTATCTAATCGGGGGAAGGCGAGAGATCGCTATAAATATCTCCGAAAAGATAACACCCGTGTTAGCATTTACGTGAAAGGGACTAGCTGATCAGGGAACCTTCAATCGGTGAAGTACGTAGGCCGAAGGTGATATCGGATATCGAGTATAATCCAGTGGCGGAAATAGCCGGAGGGGCACTAAGGGACCAGAAGGTGACGACGCGAGGAAGGAAGCGAGAAAGAGACCGAAGACAGGGGATGCCGGAAGAAGGAGGGAGGCAAAGCGAAGAGGAGACGGCGCGGAAGCGTGAGGACCCCCGAGAAGGGATGACGAGCAACGAGAGCGAAGGTTGGAAGCCGGGGGAGAAAGCGGCCAAAAGGGAGGACGGAGGAGGGAGGAAGAGAAAGAGGGAGCGAGGAGGCAGAGGAGGGCGAGTAGATTTAGGCTTCTTGCAGCAGTGGAGACGCGCAGAACGAGCCGGCAGTAATGAAAAGCGCGATCCGCATACCAAGTAGCAACCTCCAACCCATTCCTATATACATGTATAGGTATACATATATACGTATATATAGACCAGCCGGTATACTCGTATACTCCTGTATAACGGATAGGAGATACCGGCGCGATCGAGTCAGACCCCGTGCAGCTGGAGGGCCCCAATCACGTAGAAAAGTATCAGGGTGCCCGTCCTTTGCGAGAGCGAGCAGGAATATCGGGTGCTCGGGGAAGACCCCGTAGAACGATTTCGAGCAAATCTTTCTGCGGCCGACTGCTTGGAACGTACCCTGCCGAAGGATTCCCAGGATGTATCGGCCGGTACAAATGAATCTTTGCTTGAGAAACGCATTAAGACGATACGAAAGGCGCTGAGAAATTTAATCGAGGTCGATCAATTAAAATTCATGCATACTTTCTTGGTGGTACCCTATTTTGAATACTCAAGTGGTAACATTAACTATGTATATAAAGCTGGAACTGCCACTTTAGCACAATTCAATAAAGTTTGTTGCAAAATTTATTGCTAATTCATTTCTATTTTATTGCACAAGAAGATAATTTTTTGCTCTTATACTTTTCCGAAAAATGGTGGCGATGTCAGCTTTATATAAAGCTAGCACTGCCACAATGAAAAATAATTATTAAGTAAATGTTCATCGATGAATTATATACCAGAATTTATTGCTAATTAATTGCTCGCAGAAAAACCAAATTTCAATTTTTTTGCTCACCCCTAAAGGGGCGAATCGCCACCCCTAGTGATGATCGCAGGACAGAAACATGAAAAACATGGGAGAATCGAACTATTTCTTCATGTGGAAATTAATTGCTCCGAGAAGAATTTAATTTCGAATTTTTTTCACAATCCCTAAGGTGGTAGGCCAACCCCACCTATGTCGCCCCAGCATGGCCATGTAAAAAATGGAAGAAGCGAACTATTTGTTGACGTTGGAATTAATCACTAATTAATGTAGGTTTGAAAATTGTAATTTTATGAAGATATTGGTTCTTCTCGGAGCAATTAATTAGCAATTAATTCCCACGTGAAGAAATAGTTCAATTCTCCCGTGTATTTCATGTTTCTGTCCTGCGATCAGCACTAGGGGTGGCGATTCTCCCCTTTAGAAGTGAGCAAAATAATTGAAATTTGGTTTTTCTGCGAGCAATTAATTAGCAATGAATTCTGGTATATAATTCATCGATGAACATTTACTTAATAATTGTTTTTTATTGTGGCAGTGCTAGCTTTATATAAAGCTGACATCGCCACCATTTATCGGAAAAGTATAAGAGCAAAAAATTATCATCTTGTGCAATAAATTAGCAATAAACTTTACAACAAATTTTATTGAATTGTGCTAAAGTGGCAATTCCAGCTTTATACACATACATTAACTGGCACGTCACGTTACCGTCATTTATATTTATGTTGAAGTCTTTCGCAGTCTGCGTTGGGAATATACGAATTGAAGCGTTCTATATGTCATTTCAGTAAAACAATGATGAAGTAATCGATGTAAATCTGTCGAAATCCCCTGAATTCATTATTGTAACGACTCTTTAGGACCAACGTCGCCATCTGTGACGCTTAGCTGCAACTAATTTTTTCTCTAGACACGTGTTAGACCCGAGACAAGTCTTGTAGTCATTGGTGAAAGTATTTTCCATATTTTCCGATCTGACTCTGCAATGTTCCACTTTTACGGTATTCTAAATTGTTCGAACTGGGTCCTGAAACTCTTCATTTTCGATTCTAAGCCTCCAAGAAGCGTGAAACATCGAAAACGTATACGGACCACGCCACGTTGTTCCAGTCAATAAATAATTTTTCTATGAAAAATCAAACTTCATGAGTCTCCGAACCTACTTTAGGGCCTCTATATTTACGTGGTAAAATTTAACAACGATTTGACTTCTCATATATAGGCTGACTCTTTCATATCACCTTAAGGGATTACCGCATTCCATGTAAGACCAACGTTATGCGAAAATACATCAAAGATACCTACTTCATAGGAAATTTTCGTACGAAGTCCTCTCCGCTAGAAGTCTGGCAACCAATTGCAAAAGCATTAACCAATCGCATCGATTACATTAATCTTCGCAAGAATATACGATTAAAAATGTAACATTGAAGCGGTTTGTTAAGAGGGACCGTTTCCGAGGAGCATCGAATTTCGAGCCCCGATGGAGGAGCTCGTCAAGGTGTCGGCCTTTCGGGATCGAAGATCGATTTCTCGTAAAAGAGGCGAGCGGGAGGGTTCCCGTAGGTCCGAGAGGTCCAGACGCAAGGGGGTCCGCTCGTTCCCGGTTTCCAGGCGGCAATGGCCGCCGATCCCCGTGATCCGGCGGTGATATTAAATTTGTATTTTTACGCTGATTCCACGGGCTATCCCGGTACGTGAGCCGAAAGGGAATCGTCCGGGCGATTAACGATCCGAGCTCCCACGAGAGTCCTGCCTCCGAGACGCCTTCTCATCCCTCCGTTCCTCGTCTCTTCCTCGAGCAGCCACCTCGGAACGCGGTGGTGTAAGGTTGCAACCCTAGGTCCTCACCCCGGATACCCACTTCCCAACTTGGACCCGCCACTTTAGTCGAGCCTACTTCCAAAATGTCCGGATGGATTGGACTTCCGTTTGCCCTCGGAACTCCAGAACGAATAAAAGGATGAAACGGAGGACAGGAAATTTCCCACTTGCAAGGAAAGTATCCCAGGTCGATCTCTCCGATTTCATTTCTTTTATAATATCTTATAGTAGACAAAAAACTAAGCGACACGTTTTTTTATCTGCCATTAAACACTTTAAGGGGGTGAAACCACCATCCAAAGTAAGGCATGTCAAGGGGCGATTTGGCAGTTTCATCCACGAGAACATAATACTTTTTAACCAATCCACCTGGAAAAGCTTTCTCATAACGAGAAATGAAAAATAGAATTCTCTCAATTAGAAATAAAAAATAATTAAGGGGTGAGCCACCCCTCGCAGGCCTTACTTTGGATGGTAGTTTCACCCCCTTAAAGTGTTTAATGGGAGATGAAAAAAAAAAATACGTGTCGCTTAGTTTTCAGTCTACTATAACATATAAAAGAAATCAAATAGGGCATAGGGCAACATAGCGTAACCAAAGATTTTTTCAAAAAGGACATGAAACTATGACTAGTTGCAGGAAATACAACATCGCAACAAAATTTGAGCGAAATACTTTAAAAAAACGAAGCCTGGCTCCTCAAAGAAGACCGAGAACTGGGACCGCAGCCTTTATCAAGAAAATAGGATTGCCGATATGTGGCAAGGTGCCCTGAGCAAGAAATTACTTTACGAAGAATCCCCGAAAACAACATTAGCGGATCTTAATGACATAACGTGCCCCAACAGTGCAAATTAATGAACATTCTCCCCTGGATGTCCGTGGGTCTTATTACCTACGCGTTCTGGAAACAGAGCCCAGGAGCCCCATCCTGCAATTTTTTTAATTACGTATTTGTTAAAAATTATATCTTCATTTTATAGCTTGTACCTGTAATAAACATTGTTCGTGTCGCCCCTGCTCATACCCCCTGCCTAAAATACTGTATATTTTAATTTCTACAAGCCTTTCAAGTTATGGTGGGCCTTATTACCCAAAATTACCTTGTACGAATCGAGCCCACTCATCATTTGTGACGAGATTCAATTTTTTTTCCCCAAGTAATCAGGTGTCCGAACCACCTTTCCAAAATCCATGAAAAACCGAGCTCTCGATCGACCCTCGCTCTGTAAAGATTCGTCCCCAATTTCTAAAAGCCCCTCCATTCAGAGGTTTCTCCCTAGCTAACTGGCACCGAGAACTTCCACCTTCTGGAACAACTGAGCAGGCATACGTATCCAGCAGCCCTCGCTAAAAAGTCGCGAATATGCAAAGGCGAAGGGAAACATATGTCGCGCCCGGGAAATCGCCCTCCTGGGTATTGTAAATCGCGCGATCGCGAGACACCCCTCGGGGTGGGTCCCAATCGCTCCTGGTCCTCGGTTTCCATGAGGACTCTTTGGACTCCCGGCTTCCGATAGGGGGCGCAAGGGAAAGAATGAGAAAGGAGAGCCCGAGGTTGGGATAGGCCGTAGCCCTGACCGTACGTCTTCCTGACAAGCGAAATGAGCGTCGGAGCAATCGGAAGTGACGTTACGCTCCTCCGCGCGGTTCCTTCAGGATCCGCAGAGGCCCGCAGGAGCCGAGCCTCCGTAACGGTGGACGACTTTACAAGGGAGTTTACTTTATATGCAAATGCAAGACGGATGCGGAGGAAATGGAGGGATCGCGGCGGCGGCGTTTAGCCGCGACGCGAGATCGACAAGTACAATCGATCAAACCGAACCGCCCCTGTCCTTGTACCGAGACCCTCTACGAGTACTCGGGGTAGGGATAGCCTACCCCGGTGAGAATTCCGGGATCTTTAACACTAGGTTTACGGGACCCGTCAATTTGACGGAATTCAAACTTCAAAAAGAAATACCGAAAAAACTATAGCATTAATTTTAACCATTTTTGTGTCGTAAATTAATCATTTCATCCAAAGAATTTGTACACACAATTATTTTTTCCTAAGTCTTCTAATTATTAAAATCTGTATGTGGTATACCTATCTCTACGAAACCCGTCAAATTGACGGACTAGCTAATTTCATAAACAATCCATATATATTTGCTTCGTTGCAGTGAGTGTAGGGCGAAGATGAGAGTGAAAGTTTGCATTGAAAGTGGAGAAATAGAAGGATCTTCGGATAGTGAAGAGGAAAACTTCTTGAAAGGGTGTCGTAGCAAGAAAAGGATGCGCATTCTTTCTAGTTCTGACTCCGAGGATGAGAGGACGAGCATTCCAATCATTTCCGTGATAATTTTTAAAAAAAGACTTATTACTTATTAGTCATTTATTTAAACGTAAAGCCTAGGGTTGTTTAATACAGACTTAATTTGAATAAATCGATTTTTTAAAGAAAATGCGTGTTTTCGTTTACCCGTCAATTTGATGGGTGCTCGTAGAAACAGGTATATAAAAAACGCCCGTAAACCTAGTGTTAAGCGACCTTAGATGATCTAAAGGCCCATTTCATAGACTCTATACCTCTGGGTGCTATTAGAAGTACACGGAAAGAAAAGAATGGGGAGAAGAACCACAATTGTTGTAATCACAACCCTATTGCAAGGCACGGGACAACCTTCAGAGGAGGTTGCATTAACCAGCGTAACATAGTAAATAGAACGTAGTAAGGGTTACTTCACCATTTAGTCAACGTAACTGCAAGAAACGAGTTGTTCCACCATTATGCATAATTGTGAATATCCATTAAAAACATTACCGTCGACATAAAAAATTCGATTATTATGATTACGAACACTATACTTATGCTCCTAAATAAAGCTTCCAATTTACTGTGCGTATTGTAACCTCTTCATATAGTTAATATTACCATTCCAAATGGTGATCACTCCTGCACTTTTTAAGCGCAACGCCTTGGAACAGTACCTATTCGCAGGATTGCATTTACCATTCCATATGGTCAATTTCACCATTTAGGTGGTCTTACTTCCCACTGTATTTTAACCATGTCCCTATAGTAAACGTGACCAAATTATTTTTTTTCTTCCGTGTATTGCAAGAGGCAGAAGCATGATATAATGATTGTAATCGCGATGAAGTTCGATACAGACATGAAACTCGAGTCATCAATTTTTACTTGGAAAAATCCTATGAACGCTCGCGAGTATTTGGAGTAAAATATGAATATAATATGAGTATATACAGACATGGAACCCAAGTCAATAATTTTTACCTGAAACAGCCTCATAAATATCCGCGAGTATTTGCAGTATAATATGAGTATGTCCATTCCATTCTGAGAGTTTTCAAACCTCAAATTTTCAAACCAAGTCAAATGTTCCGAAGACTTGGAGGTTCTAACGAGAAAAATGAATTCTGAGATTCTCGACGGGATATTCACTTAAGAGATCATGAATTTTAACGCTCGAAATCATGCCGAAACCAACTGGAAATCGCAAGCAGAAATGGTTGCAAATCGTTGGAAATCACTGTCACAATCTTAAGGCCGAACGTCACTTGTTACCGAATCGCATTGTTGTCTATCATATGAAATCAAAGGCAATCGGCTGTCAAAGAAGGAAATCATTTTCACTGATTTCCAAGTGAACAGCCCCTCGGAGATTCTTCGTGAACGTAATGAAATTGACACTTTTGTCAGCAAACTAAATGACCAGAAGAATAAAGGAGTTGAAGATTAAATTGCAAGAAAAAAATAAACACGGGAATTGATGAAAATAATGCTTTCAAATAAGACCTCGGACAAGGCAAGTACAGAATTTAAGAGGGGTTGCAATTTTATGTCTAATTTATGTTTCAGAGTCCAGCGGGATTTTAATTTCAATTATTCTCTAAAAACGGATCTCTTAATGACACCGACGGATAAGTACATTGGGTGACATCAATGCCTTCCCATCCTGCACAGGCGATGCCGTATCTGCAGGGGTGGCATTCATGTCCGCCATCGTACAACACACGGTAACCTAATAGGCGGTACAAACACCGCTACAAACGATATCTACCTGGGAGGATAATGCTCGAATTGATATAGAAATTTCTATATACCGGCGAAAGGTAACCCATAAACGGTGATTCGAGGAGCGTCTCGTGTTACATGGAATCATTTGATTTGTCTTAGACGGAGCTGGAAAGGCGTTTCAAAGTGCCGCGCTCGGGTACACCTCGTCACGTTGTTGCGCGAATTACAGGCGGAAATGACGCCGAGGGCACGAGAGAAGATGGCCCTCGACTCTATCGATTCGTGATCACCGCGGCGCGCACCGTCGTGTAATCATAAGCATAAGCGTAAGCGTAATCATAATCATTGCGGGGAATGCGCCTATGATCCGCGCCGGCGTGATCCCGATGGCCGGGAAGGGAAGAGGTGCACCGGCACTCTTCGGGATCGGGTCGGACCTAAACCTTTCACCTACCCTTCCGTTTAACCTAACCGAGCCTGACTGAACCTGTGGCCAGCGTGCACCGTAATTGCTCGTAATTCGCTGTGGCGAGAAAGGGGACCCCCTCCTGTGACTCGAGAGACGCGTCCTAACAAATTACCGAGCGACTTCACTCCGCTTTTCTTTCCCTTTGCAACTTTTCACGGGCTTTCCACTTCCCAAAGAGACTGGAGATCCCCAAAGTTTCGATCTAGCGTCACCGGTGACTCTTAGAAATTTCTGTTTTACTTGATTAATCTCCAGAATACAAAGTTTATTTTCGAAAGTTTTCCTCTTTCAGGAATTCTTCTTTTGACATTTTTTTAATTTCCTATTTTTAAATGGTACAAATCATTTTAATGCTTATTTTCCGATATCGAGACAGAGTTACTTTTGAATTTAGTAGAGAAGAGATCTTCTAAAGGTTAATGTAGCTTCGCGATTTTAACCCTTTGCGCTCCGAGTTTCTGAAATCGCCTGGTAATTATCGAGTCAGACTCGACTAAAGAGCGCAAAGGATTGAGATGATATGAAAGGCGCTGAGAAATTTAATCGAAAAAACGTCGAAAAAGCAAAATTAATCTATACCCTTTTCGGTGGTAACATCATTTTTAATACTTAAGTGGGAACATAAACTGGTGCGTCTCGACATTAATATTTATGTTTTAGTCTTTTACGGTCTACGTTGAGAATTATACGAAATGAAGCGAACCCTATGTTATTTCGGTAAAGTAATGATATAGAGATCGACGTAAAACTGTTGAAATCTCGTGAATTCATTATTTTAACGACTGTTTAGGCCCAACGTCGCCATCTGTGACGTTATTTGCAACTAAATTTTTGCTCAAAAGACACGCGAAGCCACGAGACGAACCAGCATTCTCTTGCAATCGTTGGTGACAGTATTTCCCATATTTTCCTATCCGAATCCGTAATATTCCATTTCTACGGTATTCTAAACATTTCGAGCTAGGTCCTGAAACTCTTCATTTTCGATTCTTAGCCTCCAAGAAGCGTAAAACATCGAAAACGTGCACGTACGACGCCATGTTGATTCTAGTCCATGATAAATAAATACACTTTTTATGAAAAATGAAATGGCGTGAGTTTCAGGGCCTCCACATTCACGTGGAAAACTGTGAAACGAATTGGTACACCCAGTTCGGAGAATACTTTCATGCTTTATTAATAACATGCTTCGTGCAATTTATCTTCAGTCAGGGCGTCGAATCGCTCATGAGGTGCTATTTTATATCTACGAAGTTTTCTACAAATCGTGGATACGTTGACTGAGCTTGCGGTCTTAAAAAATTCGTCATTAACTCACCTTGCAAGAAGCATCTTGCTTCTCCGAAAGCAGACGAGCCACTTCGCGCACGGAAGAGGCGACGTCTGAAGTGACGCCGGATTGAAGCGCGACGTTCAACACGGAAAGGGTGTCCTTATCCCTTTGCAAAGCGCACTGCAGTTCGTTGAACTTCACGCTGAACTGCTGAACGGCTTGTAACGTCATGAGTTGCTGGTTGCCCCTAAACATAAGAAGAAAATGTTATTTATACGCCCGCAAACGGATTTTGCGCAACATATAACACGGCCACATTGTCGCGAAAGCCTACTTTGCTTATTTCTTTACGACGTGGGTGTATTATCGTTAACGTTAGGATCATGTTATAATAAATGCACTCAGATAATTTATGCCGTGTCTAAATATTTTTCATCATCTTTGGAAGGGAACAGGGCGTTGAGGAAAGGATTAATGATAATACCGAACTTTGAAAGCCCACGGCGAGGTGAGGTCACCGGTAAGCACACAAAAGGTCCGATCGAACAGACGCGGAAAATTAAGGGCCACCCGTCGCGGGAAAATCAATCACTACGGTGGAGAAAGGAAGGTAGGGTCATTGGGTAAACAAGGACTTGCCGGAGTATTGGAGGATTCTCCCTGTACTCGCAATCGGCAAATAAAAACATTATATCCGGGATCAATCCGACCCTTGTGACACGCCCGGGGAGCAAACCAAAGGAGACTCGATGATGGAGTTCTTGAAGTGACCCTGCGACATAATTACACTTGATATGCAATCATAGAAAAGCGCTTTCCGTTCACCGTGTCGAAAGAAATGAAGTTTGGGAAACGAAAGAAGTTTCTCAGGGAGGTACTAGCGAAAATTTCGTCAAGGCACAGCGTTTCAAAAGTAATCCTCCGAACTCCGTCAACTGCGCCCCTTTAACGGGGAGACCACAAATCCCATTTTAATTTCTTCGAAATCTCTTGATCCCCAATGCTGACGGCGGTACGATCCGCGGAAAAGGGGATTGACCACTGACCCACCCTGGGGGCCAGGAGAGGGTCAAGCCGGACCAACCCCTTCGCCTAGGATTCAACATCCCCGGCATCCTAATTCTTCCTGCGGCCACGCGCGTCATCGTGTGTTAAACCTGGGTTTAACTCGCAAACCAAAGCAATATCAATTTGCATTTAACTTCATGGTTTAATGCTAACGCTTTCGAGGGTCTTTTAAAGGGATACGTAGCTCCAGAATGGTACAAAAAATTAATTTTTCAATAATTATTATTCACTGCAGTTTACAGAATATTTCTAAAGAAGAAAGATTAAGATATTCCTAAAAACAGTGAAGATATAATGAATAACGTGAGCACGCAAGCGCGAATCGCTTAAATGCGCTGGAATTCACGCGATTCTGACTATGAAAGAGACTTGAACAGCCAGTAGAGTAAAAAAGAACAGTCGAAAAGACTGATATGATAAATGAAGACGAGGAAGATCCGTCATACCTGGAGATATAGAGCTGGAATGGCAAATTAACGAAGATTTTAAAAAATCATTTATAAAAAATAAATCATTTATGAAACATTTCTCCGAACTGAGTGTTCCAAATTATTTGAAACTTCACAACGTGAATATAGAGGCTATAAGGAAGGTCCTGACACTCATAAAATTTCATTTTTATAACAAATTTTAAAAATATCTGTGAACAAATGTCAAAAAAATTGAAATTTCATGAGTTCGGGACCTTCTTTATATCTTCCATATTTATATTGCATATTTTGCTACAAAAAACGAATATGTAGAATTCAGTAGATTTTACATTAGCGCATTTTTCATGAAACCACTTCTTAAAATTGATTGGCCTTTCTCATATCTTAGGATAACTATGTTCCATCATTCTTTATGATGCCATTCCTAAACGGAATCACGTTTATCGAAGGGTGACTATTTAGATAATCAAAGTTTCGACTTAATAAACACAGTTGGAATAATTGTACCGAGACGAACTACCCGATTACGTGGTAGGACAATATTGCCGACCTGGAGTTGTTTTCACTTTTATAATTTTTAAAATGTCCGTTATGCAAAAAGTAATGCATGTATTTGCATGAAAATTGAATATAACTATTTAACAATTATTAATGACAATTTTTTAACACACCCTACATGGGGTAACCGGTTGTAAACGATGCGGCAAAATTAGTAACGCGTTAGCAAACTCATATAATATACCTTTGACTTTAGTATTCACCGGTGCTGCCACCAAATAGGTATAAAGAAATGTTGCAAGTTGATAATTTCTCAGTTATATGGCAGTTTCTTAGGGTATGTTCTTAAATATCGTAGTGGTACAATTTGACCGACGGCACATCCCCTGCTTTACCCTACATATCGATGCAACGAAGCTCTCTCCAACGTAACTCAAGATTAATCGGGCCCCGAGATTAGCACCTCGACTCGCAGGTCGGATTGCCTCGGAACTAAATCGGGGGCTAATTCTCCCCGAATAACCCCAGTCGTTCTTTAAGACCCTGAGATATCTTTTCCGACGAGATTCGAATTTCTGGTAGGCCCGGACCCGCCCTCGGCCGGGTAATTCGCGTGACACTAGCAGCCCTCTCCTCCACCCGAACCCCCGTGAGACGAAGAGTCGGATAATCCCGCGAAACTCGAGCGACAACCCCCGTCCGATCTGTCGAACCCCGATGCCGCTCGTGCCGCGATGCTCTCTCCCGAAGTTTCATTACCTCCGAAAACATTTGTCCAGCCTCTACGTTGACCTTGCGGGGAGCTAATTTCGGGTCTATCGCATGCACTTCCGCGAAGTATGCATTTGAGCTTAAACCTGACACGCAATCCGGGTAGTTCTTCCAAAATTGTAGGGACGAAGAAGTGACATCAAAATGTCACTCGGGGAGCTGTGACCGATGTTGGCTCTATTAGCTATACCGTGGTGTTTCCAAAATTTCTAAATGTATATACAGTAGGCACCCCACATCGGAAATATGAAATGAAACCTATTGGAGAATTTAGTGCTTTTTTACTGCTATTTCAGTGCTCCACCCCTTATAACGAAAATCGGTGGTGGTTCTGAGTAAACGTTCACTCAGCACCCCCACAGTGCATACTACGTTAAGGGAAAGATTCGAAAAAGGAGTATGCAGAATTTTTGTGCTATTTAAGTGCTTTAGGAATACCCAAGAGACAGATCCGAAATATCACCCCCTTCACCCTAAAACTACCCCCGATCGTATAGGCACCAATATAGAAAAGGTAGAAATAATAAAACATTTTGTACGTTATTCTCTCGCATAATTTTGATGTTATTCAAGTACTTTAAGGATATCGTGGGTATCCACAGAGCATATAAATGGCACCAAAATAATGCGAAAAGCGAACGTGCAAATTTTGATATTTCTACCTCTTCTGTCTTGGAGCCTATATTTTGCCAATCTCAGGACAATTCGTATTGTTAGGTGCTCACGAACCACGTGTTAGTCTCAGGCAGTTCGGTGCAATACCTTTATACAAAAATTATCTTATTAAAAAAATTAGATAATGGTCGAAAATGGTCTTATTCAAAAAATTGTTAATCGAATTGAAATATGTTATCTGGATGTCATTCTGGGTTTGGTTTAGGCTAAATCAAAAGATTTTTGTTTAATCTATATCTGCCAATCTCTGGACAATTCTTATTGTTAGGTGCTCACGAACCACGTGCTAGTCTCGGGCAGTTCGGTGCAATACCTTTATACAAAAATTGTCTTATTCAAATTGACTAGCTTGAGGTGAGTTTTATTTCGCTTTAAGACTCATTTATTCCGTCATTTACCCAATGGAAATACATTATTGTTAAAACATTTACACTACATTTGAATTAAGCGTAGATATATATTATTATCAACTGTGCTCTGACGAATAAGCTAGTTCGGCCGAATTTTTGAATGAAATCTAATTAATAGAGAAACAGGGTAAGGGTACTGGATTGCCTCTTTAGAAGATTACAAGGGAAAAAGTAGTGGTGAACTTCTGAAAGCGCTACCTATTTAAAGTATTTACTCCCAGCTCCAATCACCTGTCTGTTCATTGATAACTTTCGAAATAGGCATAAATTGCTCCATGCGTTGAGAAGATAAAAAAAAATGTATTGTAATGCTTACTTCATTATTGAAATATCACTACAGACAATTCTTACACTGTTTTGCAGAGTTATATAGGTCCGTTTACACGTTGTACTTACTTTTGGAAGACTTCGTCCCAAATACGATACAAGTCAGCTACATCATCCTTTAGAGTGGAAACTGTTGCTGACTCGGATACGGTGGAGTCCACAATCAACCGATGCGCCGATACGTTCAACGCGAGCATAGCCGTCTTACGATCCCTCAAGGTGGTCAGTTCGTTCTGAAAGAAAACAAAAATCATGAATGAAAAACCGATCCTTACTATCTTCCCATCTCTCGAGAAGACTGCCACTTGCCAAAAATCACAAAAGATGTAGAAAAAGGAACGTACTCTTAAAAGGATATGAAAGAGTCAGCCTATAATATATCTGACAAGTCAAATCGTTGGCGAAAGTATTCTCCGAATTGGGTGTACCAATTCGTTTCACATTTTTCCATGTGAATATGAAGGCCCTGAAACTCACGCCATTTCATTTTTCATAAAAAATGTATTTATTTATCATGGACTAGAATCAACATGACGTCGTACGTGCACGTTTTCGATGTTTTACGCTTCTTGGAGGCTTAGAATCGAAAATGACGAGTTTCAGGACCTAGCTCGAACAATTTAGAATACCACAGAAATGGAATATTACAGAATTAGACGGAGAAACATGAAAATACTTTTCACCAACAATTGCAAGAGAATGTTGACTTGTCTCGGGTCTAACGCGTGTTTTTGGAGCATAAATTTAGTTGCAGCTAAACGTCACAGATGGCGACATTGGTCTTAAACAGTCGTTAGAATAATGAATTCACGGGATTTCAACAGTTTTACATCGACCTCTTCATCATTGCGTTATCGAAATGTCATATGGAACGCATCAGTTCGAATAATTCTCAACGTAGACTGTAAAAGACTTCAATGAAAATATAAATGCCGGTAACGTGACGCGCCGGTTTGTGTTACCACATGAGTATTCAAAACTACGTTTTCCCACCAAAAAGGGTATAGATGAATTTTAATTTGCCAACCTCGATTAAATTTCTCAGCGCCTTCCATATCATTTTACGTACTTAACAGATGTGAATTTATCATTCCACTCGATAGCAAATTTTAATTTGTGAACAATTTATTAAACTTACATCTCTAAGGAAACATATTATATGTAGGATTAATTTTCGAGCAGTCGGTAATTCAATTACACCTGGATGTTCTCCTCAATTTAAAAAGTCAGAAATCAGTTACAGTGCCGGCGTTGTTGAAGTACGCGGTAAATTAATTTCCTAAAAATCAAACTTCCTACGAGGGGTAAATTAATTTTCGAAAAACGAGGCGGTAAATTAATTTTCTAAAAATCAAACTTCCTACGAGGGGAAAGGACCCGAGATCAAGGGAGCGTGCCGACCTGCCCCAGTCTCCCCCACATCGACCGACCATAGAAAAGTCTTAAGGAATTCGCAGGGACAGTGGTACAGAGGTCGAGGATCGTGCCCGTGTTCCTGGGAGGCCCGAGCATGCCCAACATAAAACTCGAGTCATTGATATTCCGTGCGCACTGCAAAGACAGCAGCAGCCACCCCTCGGCGACGCGCATTCCGATCTAATTCAATTTCCAATCAACAGCCAATCAATTGATTCGAATTCGGTATACAGAGTGGTTGCCGCGAGTCCGAGACCTGCATGTCTATGAGGTGTTCGCCCCTGAGCACGTACTTGCTAAAAACCAGGAATTAGCTTCTTTTGCACCCCTCAATTTCGATGTACTATACGACCGGAAAAAAATTCCAATCCTTGGCGTTTACTCTTATCAGAACTATTGTCCCTAATAATTTATTTAACAACAAGATAGTAATAGTTTTATCACAAAACAAAAATAGGAATTGAAACCTAAACCCCCGATATTTGGTCTTGACCTGGAGCCAGGAACACGATTCTTGACACTGAAAGTGATATGAAAGAGTCAGCTTATATTAATATATATTATAACGATTGCAAGAGAATGCTGGATTGTCTCGGGTCTAACACGTGTCTAGAGAAAAAAATTAGTTGCAGCTAAGCGTCACAAGATGGCGACGTTGGTCCTAAACAGTCGTTAGAATAATAAATTCACAGGATTTCGCCAGTTTTACATCGATTTCTTTATCATTACTTTACTGAAATGACATATGGAACGCTTTAATTCGCATAATTATCAGCGTAGACTGTAAAAGACTTCAACAAAAATATAAATGCCGGGAACGTGACGCATCAACTTATGTTACCACTTGAGTATTCAAAATGACGTTACCACCAAAAAGGGTATAGATGAATTTTAATTTCTCGATCTCGATTAAATTCCTCAGCGTCTTTCATGTCATCTTAATCTACCAAGGTGCGGGTGTCTGATTCTGAAGAAGTAAAATGAAATAAGAAAATAGAGATTGAAAGATAGCAACTGAGTAGGGTGCTCAAGGTCTAGGAGCCCGGCTTCGACAAGGTGCGCGCAGACACGTGCAAAATAGAATCACGTTCCACCGCGAATTGGAATCGGTGCAAACCGCAGTCTCCTGCATAATGCAGCCTCGGCGGCAAGTTCGGCAAGTAAATGTCGGACGTTAATGCATTCTTCAGGACAGACACCGAGCGTGCGTGTCTTCACTGCGAAGCTAACGATTACGTTAAGAATACCCCATGTCGGGCTTTACATCTCTATAAAAGTACTCGAGACCCTATAGACTTTTATGTGAAGACGTTGACCTATCTTTAGAATTTCAACAATTGCCCCTAATTGTATACGATTACATTTCGTGACCAATAAATGGATAAAATACCATTTCCCTGACCAATAATGTTATATTCTGGTTAAACCATTTTTTTACAATTAATTTATATCGCTCTGCTCATATTCTACAATGATAAAGCCTATAACCTTCCTTCCTAGTATCGCAAAAAATTGACCCCTCCATTGAAGAACGACATCTGAAGCTGATTTTGTTATACCATTAAAATTCATTACAAATTCTAAGGTCCACAGTTACGCAGATATGAGTAAAGAACTAAAATGGGTTTGTCTTCGATATGTCGCAGTTAGTATCTTCTGATCCGACTCGTCAGAAGTATGGATAAAGGGATCAATCAAGGTGCGAGGGGTGCACTTTAATGCGTTCTTCTGATAAATTTGGAAAAGTGCGTTTGATCTTCGCTGCAAAGTTAGAAGTGGAGCCGAGGGTGGTATGCTGGAAAGGAAAAGGTTTCACGTTTTTCGAGGTTTCGGGTGCAGAGCTCAGTGGGTTGACTAGGTTGGTATTCGCTTCCATGTTGCGATTCCGAGCACGTTGCCGACAGACAACACGACTACGCTTTTACGATTCTCCCTCTTTTTCGCCCTATCTGTACGCGCTCTCCTCCTCTCCACCCTCCCTTTCTGCTTCACTTTCATCTACGAAGTCTCCCCTAGCTTCGATCGCGAAAATGGCATTCACACTTGGCGCCACTTTCTTGCAAATAAACATTTTTCGAGGAATTTCTGTCGTTTTCCCGTGGGATATTCTGAATATAGATCAGTACAGGGCAAAATATTTAAGCTATAGAGTTCGAGGATAGATTGCTTATCAACGTTGACATTAATCTGTTTGCAACAAGAATTAAATACTATTCTCTATATCGTTTAAGCAAATTGAAATAACATTCATTATTTGTTTATCTACTCACGTCTCCCCTAGCTTCGATCGCGAATATGGCATTCACACTTGGCGCCACTTTCTTGCAAATAAACATTTTTCGAGGAATTTCTGTCGTTTTCCCGTGGGATATTCTGAATATAAATCAGTACAGGGCAAAATATTTAAGCTATAGAGTTCAAGGATAGATTGCTTATCAACGTTGACATTAATCTGTTTACAACAAGAATTAAATACTATTCTCTATATCGTTTAAGCAAATTGAGATAACATTCATTATTCGTTTACCTACTCACGTTTCGGGATGACTGAATAGTGCCGAACTTTGCATATTAATAGATATTATGACGCAGGTACACCTAACGGAGTACATTCTCTATTCGCATTGGAGAGAAAGTCCTTTTAGCTCTCTTACTATTATCATTGACGGGAAGAAAAATAACCACCGCAAGGAGCTGTCAAATTATAGTCCTACGAGTCAGGAATATTTCGATCATCATAAGATGATGCAGATTTCACCTTTCTAAAGATATTCCAGCTCGCGAGGTTTACGGAAAAGGAACCTTCATTTGGTGGTTAAAAGACTTCCATCACCTTCACTGACGGCTTATGTCTGACCAAATGAAATCTCTCAGTAGAAGTGAAATCTATTTAGGTTCAACGGAACTAGTCATATTTTCTAGAATAACGTGACTCGCCGGACGAGAAGCAGTTCTCTTCGTTAAATTTACCCTCCACGTCATAAAAGTATCGCACTCAAAAGTGGAGATGGTAATAATAAAAATATTTTAATATTGCCTATTCTTAATTAAAATATTGTTATGCAATGCCGGCTGTAGTTTTACCGACGACGGAAATAAGTAGAAATTGCAGAAAGTGAGATCTAGACATTAGTTTTTTTACTTACCGTAACCTGATGAATGCGCTCATCTAGAAGGTGCTGTTGTTCCAGAACGATTTCGTAAGAAACAAGTCTGTCATGTACTGCTCGTAACTCGAGGCACATTTTAGCCATGTCTCGATGAAGATCGTTTGCCAGCCGCACTTCCTCCGTTCGAGTAGATAACGTTTCCCATTTTTTAATGAGCTCTACAACAAAATAAATGATTCCACTTAGTCCACAGAGAATTAGAAATTATTCCTAATTTTCTATACGTAGAAACGAATTATACGCGGTAATGACTAAAACCAAACTAATCAGGAAACTCGGTAGAGTTTCGCGGCAAATACATTTAAAAGTATGCGCGAACGGCACCGAATACTTAACGCCAAAGTTCGACACTTCAATTAGACAAGTATTTATTTCCCAAAAAAGATATTACTTACCATGAATTTGCTTCACATTTTTTCCAAGTGGGAAAGCGTGATCTGTAGCTGCCAAAACTGCATTCAAACACCTGATATTCTCTTTGCACGCAGACTCCACCTCGATCTAAACAGAAATGGTTTCCGAAGTCCATTTAAAAATTATGTAAATCGCCGATCAATTAAAATGAATACCTTATATATTAATTCTGGAGAGAGTTTAAAAAATCATCACATTTCAAAGGAATACTTTTATGAAGGAGGTACTTAATGACGTGCATGGGCGACTATATGCTAAAAAATAGAGAGTATGATCGAGGACAGAGTAAAAGCAATCATGAAAGCAAGATACGAATAAGAGTTACAGAGTGTATCTAGGTCAAAGAAGGCCAGTAGATTGGTCGGGATAATGTTTGAAATCGCGCCTTTCTATTTCAGAGATTTGCTGATCGCAACACGTGTTTGCTCGCAAGTCATACATGAGATGAGTGCTTACCCAATTACCCGAAGGCGGTGCTCCATTTGCCCTTAGGATGATATTTTCTGACATCAAGAGCTGGGAATGAGACTTCTCTAGCAAATTACAAATGTAATCGGCGTCGCTGTCACTGTCACTGTCTTCGGTCGATTCAGTTAAAATCTAAAGAAATAATTACCATTCATAAGCATGTTTATCTCCGGATAAGTCTCGCAATAAATCTTAAATAATTACAAAAAAAAGCCATTAAGTTTATCCATGAAGCTCACAAAGTAAAATTGTACGCGCCAAACGTTGGCACTTATTTTATTTAAAAGATTATTTTTCGCTAAAATTCAAATAATGCACTTTGAGATAAGGGATGTTATATACTTACATGATGAATACGACGTCTAGGCATCGGCGGTGAATTACCATGAACAGCGCTCATGCTGGACGCGCAATCCGACTGACTGTCCAGAAAGTTTCTGTAGTCGTCTCCGAAATCCAGCAACTTACTAGCTGCTTCGAGATCAGGTACTTCGCTATACGGCTCACTCATGTACTTCTCCTGAAAACATAAGGCCTTTTCTTCGCTTCACAATTATCTTCGTCCTTTAAAAGCTAAAAAATCTCTAAAACTAAAAAAACCCTTCTACGAGTCTCTTCAAATAAAGTGTTCTGCACACTTTTATAACAGAAAGTACAGAAATCCTAAAGTAGATCCTCAAGTCGAAGCATCTTAATGAAGAAAATGAGGGAAAAGGATAAGTGCCAATGAAATGATAAAGTTACTAGAATAAGTTACCGCTAATACCTTATTACGAATCCTTAATTTATCAAGGACGCATCTACCCCTCACGTTTAAGATGATACGAAAGAGTCAGCCTATATATATCTGATAAGTCAAATTGTTGAGGATAGTGTTCTTCGAACTGGGTGTACCGGTTCGTTTCAAATTTTATTACGTGAATATGGAGGCCCTAAGAGTCGGTCCTGAAACTCATGAAATTTTATTTTTCATCCAAAATGAATTTATTTATCATGGACCAGGACCAACATGGCGTGGCCCAAGCAAATTTTCGATGTTTCACGCTTCTTGGAGGCTTAGAATCGAAAATGAAGAGTTTCAGGACCTAGCTCGAACAATTTAGAATACCATAGAAATGGAATGTTACGCGTGTTTTTAGAGCATAAATTTAGTTGCAGCCAAACGTCACAGATGGCGACGTTGGTACTAAACAGTCGTTAGAATAATGAATTCATGGGATTTCGACAGTTTTACATCGATCTCTTCGTCATTAGATTACCGAAATGACATCTGGAACGCTTCAATTCGTACAATTCTCAATGTAGACTGTAATTAATATTCAAAGTAACGTTACCACGAAAAAGGGTACAGATGAATTATAATATATCAGCCTGGATTAAATTTCTCAGCGCCTTCCGTATAATCTTAACTCTCAAAAAACACGTTCACAGCATAAGGAGTCAAGATCGCCAACTCACGAGAGACAGCATTTGCTTTCCTCGACACTCCGGATAGTACTCATTTTTTCATCCTTTTACCCAGGAGCGTGACAAGTCTAACGTTCTGCTCGGCACGCAACTTAGAATACATACGGAACATGCGATTAAACCATCCGTTACCTGGTAATTATCCCACGCTTGTTCCGAGAACGAATTGTTCCCAAGGCTGTTCTTCTCCACGTCGCTGTCCGCGTTCGATTGTCCCTCCAACAAAGGATTGTTTTGGTAGGCAGGATAATCCGCGGAATCGACACGCTCTTCCTCGGAGGTAGAGGCGTCCCATTTGCAGCGAGAGGAACGAGAGAACGGCGCGCTCCCACCTACGGTGCTTTTTTCCATGAAGAGTTGCTGGCGGGCCGTGCAGCCCGAGAATGAGCCAGACTTGACAAGAGTGGTTAAATGACTGTGGCACTCCATCGGATTCGCGTGGGCAGCTCGGCTCGTATTGTTTTTGCGCGAGGAGCGTTGGTGGTTCGAGCACCCGTCACTTCCGGCGGAATGGGGATTCGCGTTTGCACCTTCCGAGCTGGACTCGCTCTTGCGATTCTGCAGTCGAGATGAAGCACGGCATTAATCGCGGGACGGGTTAACGAGGCGTGATGTGGAGAACGAGCATCTCAAGGCGATGTGAAAGCGCTACCTCACCGAGAGATTCTGATAAATTGCAATCTAGATTTTTGGTCCCCTTGGATTTTTGGAGTCGTGCGACGGAGATTCGTGGTCGTTGACGTTGCAGGGGATATCAATTTTAACCCACTACAGTTCTTGAGAGAGAAAGACCGGCTACTAAGTACGGAAGGGAACTGCAATTCTCGAAATCGGTCGGTAAAACAGTACTTTCACATCTCGGTGGAGAAAGGCGCCGAGGGGGGTACCAACCAGGTTCTTCTTGCGCGATTTACTCTTCTTCCTGCGGACGGAACTACTCTTGAGTATACTGCCGTCACGACCGACTGCAGCCTCCTCGAGCAACGTTGACGAGGAGTTGTCAAACGGCAAGCAAGACCCTCTGGAAAGAGATTAATAAGGCCGTGAAAACGAGGACAAATTGAGTTCAAATGAAAATACTTCCAAGAAAAACCAACGCATTACGAACAATTTCAAGAATTGTCAAGTCTTAGTTGTAAGAAACAATGATTTCGGAACGAAAATGATCATTAAAGTTTTTATCCGTCCTCGTACGTCACTATTGGTGGTTTAAGACACCTTTTAACTCTAAAAGTGAAGTATGAGGACGAACCTTCATTTTTTTGACGTTACCTGATCGTGAGGTATATGCCACGTTTTCGTTCAGAATTAGAACAGGCAATATATACTTACAAGGAAACACCCAAGTTTCCACTTCCAATTTGATTCGTTTTTAAATATATTACAGAGTACCAAGAAATAAGGGACACGTGTCTTTTTATAGCTGCCTAATTTCATGTTTAGGGGCGGAAACCACTCTTCGACGTTTTAGAATAAGTACTCGAGGTATAGAATTTTCAGCAATACCAGCCCATTAAATTTGAATGGAAAATCAACTACAATTGAAATGGAGTTTCCATTGAAATTTAGTAGGCCGGTTTCATTGGAAATTCTATTTCTCGAGTACTTATCCATAAACGTAGGGTGGTTTCACTTCCTAAATATGAACCTTCGCAGCTATAAAGAAACACGTGTCACTTATTTTTTGGTACTCTGTAAAAAAATTTCAAAACTAATCAAATCTGAGTGAAAACGTGGGTATGTTTCCTCGCTAGCCCCGATGCATCCCCTTTGATGAACCGATAATAAAAGGCTTGACTACTGAATTTACAGTTACTATCCCTTCCAAGCACTATCAGCAAACTGAAACATCGCCCAACGTTCTCGCCTTTAAGTCACAAATCCGGGGGTCTTCAAAAGTTCTATTTTCCGTGGACTTATTTTTAAACCTGGCCAAAGATCAGGACGATAATCCGAAGATATCACATCCTGAAATCAATGCGATATATAATCTTAACATGAACCTGGCACCTGTTTCACCCTACACTTTCCCCAAACATCGAATCTCAATAAGTTGGCAACCAAGAAGATGAGTTTAAAAATACAACTCAAGAAATCATTATAGGTTTGGAAAGTATCTTCTGGTGTTATAAATAGCATATATCTTATTAACAGAATTTCCTTAAACCTAGTCCAAGCCCAACCGCCAAGTATCACTTACGTTGCATCAAGGGACACGGACTTGGTGGGAAGTGTCGCAACCAGCTGATGAAGTGCGCTCTCGGAGATGGAAAACTGCGAAATCGGATCGTTGGTCTCAGCCAAATTGGAATGGTTAGCTAGCTGGGAAATACACGATACGCTCCATGGTCTGGGACCATTCCACTTTCGGTTCGAGCGCATCATTACTTTCGGAGTACTGGTCTCTAGAAGCGGCTGATGCCCGTCTTCGATGGGCGTCTTGTCGGCATCGTCGATCACTTCCTGGGAAATCGACTGCGAGGTGCATCCTAAGGTGCCATCCAATCGACGATACGTCACCACACTGCTGTGCAGATCCTCCGAAGACACCGATTGCTTGTCCACGTCCGATTCACCCGTAGTGTACTCTCCGCTCGCATCGCAGCTGTCCATGGTCTGACGCCAGTTCTGCCGGCAAATAAATTATTTTTAAACGATGCGTTCATTCAACGAACCTGAAAAAAAACACGATCCTCTCTAGCCCCGTCTTCCGCGTGTACAATATTCCTGGAGCGCAAGAAACGACAAAGGAGAACGAGTTATAGAGATATACGTGGACATTGCCAAGATGTACGTTCCTGAGTTTCAAAGTGGGAAGATTCTTTGACGAAAGTCAATGATTTACAAAAAAATATCAGGTTATACTGCTGATTAATAAAACTGCTATTAATTAGTTTATTAATTATATAGCTATTAATATAGCTATTAATTAGATTAATAAAATACTGCTGCTTGATAAAACTTTTGCAGATTAAGTAAAAACAGCAGAGTAATTATTTTTTCTTTGTAATCCCGGTTTTGTTAGAAATATATCCGCTTCTAAAGTGACGAAAGAATTGCTATTATATCGCGAAGGATGTGAATCAACGTCTCGATGGATTTTAATATCTCGAAATCGTGAGCTCGTGACGCCGACGTGTGCCAACAGTCTTTCAGCATGACAGCTTCATAATGAAAGGAACATTCACTCGATTATTTCCTATTTTCTCTGACTTAATCATATGCTATGTCCGCTAATGTTCCATCTGAAAGATACGTCACCAGCGATGCATAAGCTAAACCTTTCACTTATCACGGCTAACCTTCATTTATCTTCATGCGATGGAACCGCGATGACTGTTGAAAGGAGTTCCGACAAGTTTACGTCGCTTCTCTGCATAAACGAGTATTTGCAATTCTACAACCTCCTTTCCTTCAAACTGAAAAACTCCCTGACAATTGTCGACGTCAAATCAAACCCAAACCCCTTGCTCAACTTTCCCAGCATCTAAACAGCATTTAAGAGGTTTAGAATACCTCGAGCCAATCTTTTATATCTACCCAATATATTAGGGGGACCGAAAAGTAATCAAAATATCTTCAATGAGCTCATTCATAGTTAGCATGTGTCGAATTTTGATTAATTTCCGGCCCCCCTAATATTATATTGATAAGAAAAACGATCGGTCAATCCGAGGTCCCATAATCCAATTCGTTACCCAATCTGCAAGCGTGCTCCTGGATTGACCAACCGCATCACTTTTGCCCCTGCTGCACCGGGAAAAAAAGTACCTCTAGAGGCAATCTCACCGCGGCAAAGGAAATAAAAACGTACACGTCGAATCGAAACGCCGAGAGTCAATAAAAATCGACGTGTAAATGCGACTTCGAAAGCCGGTTCTTCGCGGAACGGTGTCACAAAACATCCGAGCGAAGGCACTTCCCGGTATCGAACCGCAATGTCCGCATTCGCGTCGATAGGGAATCAAAGATCGCGTGTCGGCCGCTTAACGAGAACCGTAACATCGGCTTCGGCTAATTACTTAGCAACGTTGACAAGTTCGGAGCCCGGCTTTTCAGCCGGAGGGCTTTCGTTTCGCTGAGTAGCTTACAATATTGTCTGCACCGACGAGCGCGTACTTCTTGCGTAATTGACTCGGTCAAGGACCTCTCTCCTGTCGAGACCAACCCATTCCCTTACAAGGCTGTACTCTTAAAATTAAATTATAAACGAAAAGAAAATACGAAGAGCGCGTGCCGAGCGTTTAACCCGAGACGCAACGCTTTGCTTCGCTACTTGACAAAGACGAGTTTGGGACCCTTCTTAGCCACTTCCCTTAGTCGGGTAACATAATATCGTTCATACGACTACGAGCGTATATACCCCGTGTAATTACTTTGGTCACGGACTTCCTCCTGCTAAGCCGTGCCATACCAAGCTTACGTCATTCTATCTTAATCGAAATTGTTGGAATTATTTAATCCTAACTGACGTACAGATCGGAAGATTCTATGCATCATCAAAATATTAACAAGATTTGATCGTAAAAATCGGCTGAAATAGTACAGTCTTACTTTCTCAAGGAACAAGAGCACGGATTTCGCGGCAATATACATCAGCACCGAAGAAGGAAAAATATAATGCCCTACTTCCACGATTTTCGGTGGTCAACCTTAAAGTCCAATGGCCGCGTTCTCGACTGCACAAATCCATGGTCTTTCGTCCCAGAGTTCTTGCCGTTCGCGTTTTTGCGCAAAGTTAGTGAAAGAAAGATGCCCAGGTGGTCCGTTTCCTAGTTTTCGCCACGGGCAAGACGAGGAGCAAAACCTTACGACTCAGAAGGCGTAAAACGGTGAAGGAGCACACCCGAGCTCGAAGAAAATCAGGGCACGCGAGACCGAAGTGCCCGCGCGGTCCGCTAAGTGGTCGGCAAACCGGTGGCCAAAAAACATAAATCTTAAAGCCCGTCCGCCGAAAATCCCGGAAGTAGGGTATTACGATTATCCCTACCCGGTGTTCATTTAGGAAATGTGGAACGTACATGCTGTCCAGCCGCGAGTACCGTATATCTCTCTCGAGAAAGTCCGTCGCGCAATGGTCGCCCAATACCGAGAACACCGCCCAGAGTCCCTGTACTTAATGTGAACGTTCTCCTGCGCCAGTTTCTTCGGGACAATAAAATAAGCCGAAGACGAAAAGTAACTCCAACGTCGATACCAATCGGTTCGATATCGACGAGCCCATCGCTCTCCTTCGGGATTTCGCTCGCTCCAGCGTAACATTGTCCACGGCGACAATTGTCTACGGCGCATATTCTCGACGTAATTACCTCGGTCACGGACCTCCCCTCATGGGGCCTTGTCGCATTGAGCTTGAGCCATTCCTTTATACGGATGTACTTAGCGCGGTTATTACTGGCCAGTCCTTTCTCTTCGAAGACCAGAGGTGGGAAAGTTCTTGACATTCCTGCAGTACCCTCTTCCCTAACGAGCTTCTCAACCTCTCGGATGAGCTTCTGTATGCTCATCTTGTCGTTCTTCGACTCGTCCTCGCTCTCGACCTCGCAACGCTCCTGCTCGTTCTCTTCCTCGTAGACGCGCCTCGTCGACTCCTTCGGAAGAACCTCGCCCTTCGACCCGTCCTCGCCCTCACCAGCTTGGATCGACGCGAATCTAATTCGCGCGGACCTTTCTGCCTTCGAGTCGCCATCGTTCGCCACATCTTCGGCGGTTTTGACCTCTTCACGAGCTGCCATCTTGTCCGTGGATCGCGCCGTCCTGTAGGACCACTCCTCTTCGGACGAGTCGTCGGCACCGTTGCGAAATTCCTCGGTCACCAGACAACAGTCCGCCTCGGAATCGGTGTCCAAGTGCTTGAAGTAGAAGGTCGCACAGTTCTTTGACTTCCTGTCGGACCTGCAAGTCAATAGAATTTGTTTATCGGGAAGAACTAGACAAAGCTACGAAGATTTGGCCTCCAAAGAGATAAAAGGACCGATTATACGTGGAGGTCACTATACGTTACTTAGAATCTAAGCTGACTTACGGTCCTAGAGGTTCCTGCCTCCTTCGATTTGCATGAAAAAATATATAAATGTACAGATAGTACCTAATTTTATTTCAAGAATTGCCTTGAAGGCACGCATACTTTTCTCGTCTCATTGCGGTATTCTAGAATTTTAAGACAATGACCCTACATGTTGAAGGATGCGGCGTCCTTATCGATGCGACGGCGTTTCGGGTTCTGATCGCCCTTGGCGGAAAACCCATTGGAGATGCTAATTTCGATGGGTCGTCCTGAGTTGATCTCGTCGTGGACGCAGTCCAGCAAAGTCGAGGTCGCGATGGGCACGATAACCGGCAGTGGCGGCATTTCGCGGCGTTTCTCGTCGTTCGTTGCACCGTCCACCACGTCGCCCGTTTCCTCCTGACCCCGCCCTTCGGTTGAGCAACCACCGCTGACTTTTTCAGTTTTCCTCGAATCCTCGGGAGCGCTCGTATCCATCACAGAAAACTGAGACAGCTCATCCTGCAGGAAAAAAGAATACATTCTTATAAAACGTTCACGATCCTCGTGATTCACTCTACTTCAATGATAAACAGATTATACGAATAGGTCTAAACAGCTTACTTAGCAAACAAACTGAATAAATGTGTTTGCATGCAGATGCTTCGTTCCTTCTCTATCTGCTGTGGGAACTTTTCGATGGGCATTGATAGATAATCGCTATTATCAACTGTCCCCCGATTAAGAGCAGAAAGCTGCCTCTTCGATGTTATTAAACATTCCCCTCTTATTTTACACGTTTAAGGTGAAGTGAAAGATGTCGAGGAACTTGATCGACGTCGATAAAGATTTTTCTAAATGCCTACGTTGCCGACGTTCGTTTTTATATTGACAGCTGTGTGGAATTATATTGGGTATTGCACTAAATGGCATACTCCACCTGTCGTTTTCGTACAATAATTATAAAGAAATCGAAGTAAAACTTCAGAAATCCTCTGGTTTCATGATTTCTGGGGCCCTAATTGACTGCAGAGGGACCCCCTGCGCCATCTGTGATTTCCAGGTGAATTAAATTTTCACTCCGAGACTTCGTATTTCCATCGTTTTAGCATAGACGCGCATAAAACACTTTTTTTGCCTTTATCCCGTCCAAATGCGAGTTTATCGATTACCAGAGGGTTCTAAATTGTCGTAAAATTGTCCTGACCCTTTCGTTTCTCATATCAGAGCCTTCGATAATTGTATATTGATCGAAATATGAGAACTCGAGGCCATTTTGATTTTTGTCTGGGCTGAGTTAAAAAATTAAAAAAAAATCGAAATTTTGAATGTGTCAGGACAATTCTTAGATGATCAGGAGTGATGTGTCAAAGTTTCGGACAGTTTGGTCTAATACCTTTAAAAAAAAGTGTTGTATTATAATCGATTGATTTGAAGGGGGTTTCACTTCACCTTAATTATTATTTGATTAATTGACTAACTCATATGCCGATAATAATATAATGTCATTCGTTGGACTGTGGCGAGTTAGGGATCACTGGGATCGAAACGAGAGGCTACCTCGAAATACAATCCATCGTCGCTGAACCTGTTGTCGTTCGACACGTCGCTGTCGAAGTGATCATCTCTCGAGCTGGCTGAATCGTAATCCTGTCGTCTGGAAGCTCTGGGCCGTTTCGGGCGAGTTGTCCGCATAGAATGACCAGATTGGTCGGAGGAACTTCTGCCATGCTCCCGTGATTTCCTGCGACTGAGTCGAGGCTGTTTCGTGACTGGCTCTTCCTCGCTGTCGCTGCTGTACCGACTAGACCCTAGGCTCTGGAACATAAGTAAGGGGGGCCCGTGTTATCTACCCGAGATTATTCGATTCAATATATATTACCGGCGCTTTCACCTTGGCGAATCGCCCCGATAAGAAGGAATCGATATCTAGAGACAAATTTGCTTCGCAGCGGGTGTACACGTAGTAGGTCATTGCACGTACAATTACCAACACTTGTCGTGCACGAATTCGGATTTTGCAAATTGAAGAAAATATTCAGAAAGGTACAAAGGCAAAATTATCGGAGGTCCACGGACAGCCCTATTCCAGGGATCATGGGCGAGAATACGTGATCATTGTTTAGAAGACGTGATCATTGCCTAAGCAACTGATACTAAGATGATGCTAAACCAAGACTCTCTCTCTACGAACAGTGGACAGGAACAGCACTTGATCGAGAACCATAGAAACGAACAGTTGAACCCATTTCAATATGTTTCCTTGAGGCTTACGCATATAATTTTAAACAATAAGCCAATTAATTATCTGTGAATCTACGGGAAATGTAGACTTGTTAATAGTAGATTCGTCTCACTAATTTTACCTCCTACAGAATTGAAGAAAATATTCACAAAGGGACAAAGGCAAAATTATCGGAGGTCCATGGTCGGCCCTATTTCAGAGATCACGGGCGAGAAGACGTGATTGTTGCCTAAACAACCGATAAGGCTAAACTAAGGCTGTCTCTTCGAACAGTGGACAGAAAGGACACTTAATCCGGAACCACAGAAACGAGCAGTTGGATCTATTCAATACTTTTCCTTGAGGCATACGGATATCGTTTTTAAGGTGATATGAAAGGGTCATACTATATACATCAAACGTGAAAATATTTATAAAAAAGTTTTCTCCAAAGTGGGTGCATCAAATGATTTGAAACTTTGCCACATGATTATGGAAGCCCTAGGGAAGGACGCGATGCTCGTGAAATTTCATTTTTTACAAAAAAAAAAGGGGCAAAAAAATGCGATTTTGGTTCTAGGGTAGGCTAAATAATAAAAAATGTTTTCTAACAAATATAATTTCACGAGCATCACGTTCTTCCTTTGGGCCGCCATAATCACGTGTTGAAGTTTTAAATTATTTGGTGCACCCGGTTTGGAGAAAAGTTTAATAAATATTTTGACGTTTTGATATATCGAATGATCCTCTCATATCACCTTAATGTAATAGAAAACTGACTTTTACAAATTGCATTTATAAGTATTACATTATTGTTATTATTTGACAGAAAATGTTACTGCATTTACATAATAAAAATAATTGTTTCGTCGGCTTACTTGGTTTCCGTGATCTGATATTGTAAATGCCATACACCAGCCACCATGATTGTTCGGACGATAAAGTGTAAAGTATGATAAAAATCATACCGTATGAAGAGATATGGTAGAAATACGAGTTCCGGTAATACCTTCTGTGCGCCTAGGGTATATTTGAATAAGGATTCGGTCTACGAATCTGACGAATTTATTGCGGCAATAACGTATCCAACGGGAAAAGAGAATTTATAAGAAGTTTCATTTCCCGACAGTAGCTCGCGGAAATCATTGCACGTGTAATGATACCCGCAACCCTAGAGGCGTGTGTAGGGGAGGAACGTTTTTCAAAACAAGTCTACGTCCCCGGTTCCGGTTTAAATTATCATTAGATTACGGTTCCAGTTACTGGTTTCGGTGCACGGAAGATTAAAGGGATAGATAATGAAATAACAGCCACAGAAAAATGTACAGACGTGCCTGTTATGACCGGCGACCGCAGACCCATTATAACCTTCTGCGGCAAGAAATAACGCACCGAGATTGCAAAATGGTACACTTACAACATCCATACTAATTGTTCCAGTAACAGCTCATTTCGCGTTATTAGAAGCGACAATGCGCAACGAGAACGCCGTTACTTACTTCTCAAATTGACACATGACTAAGACCCATCTATTGTTTCCTGGTTTACCTGGAAGTAATTCGTACGTTTCCTCAAGTGGACACGTTACATGAACACGCTCGCTGTCAATGGCGGAACAATATCCATTTCTGACAATGAGTAACTGGACTTCTTCAAGGTGATACGAAAGAGACAGCCTATATATATCTGAGAAGTCAAATCGTTGGTGAAAGTATTCTCCAAATTTTACCACGCGAACATGGAGACCCTAAAGTAGGTCCTGAAACTCACGGAGTTTCATTTTTTATAAAAAAATTTATTTATTTATCATGGACTAGAACTAATACGGCGTGGCCCGTGAACGTTTCCGATGTTTTACGTTTTTTCGAGGCTCACAATCAAAAATGAAGAGTTTCAAGACCTAGCTCGAACAATTAATTTATTTATCACGGACTAGAACTAACACAAATTTTACCTCGCGAACATGGAGGCCTTAAAGTAGGTCCTGAAACTCACGGAGTTTCATTTTTTATAAAAAAATTTATTTATTTATCATGGACTAGAACTAATACGGCGTGGCCCGTGAACGTTTCCGATGTTTTACGTTTTTTCGAGGCTCACAATCGAAAATGAAGAGTTTCAAGACCTAGCTCGAACAATTAATTTATTTATCATGGACTAGAACTAACACAAATTTTACCTCGCGAACATGGAGGCCTTAAAGTAGGTCCTGAAACTCACGGAGTTTCATTTTTTATAAACAATGTATTTATTTATCATGGACTAGAACTAACACGGCGTGGCCCGTGAACGTTTCCGATGTTTTACGTTTCTTGGAGGCTCACAATCGAAAATGAAGAGTTTCAAGATCTAGCTTGAACAATTAATTTATTTATCATGGAGTAGAATTAACACGGCGTGGCCCGTGAACGTTTCCGATGTTTTACGTTTCTTGGAGGCTCACAATCGAAAATGAAGAGTTTCAAGACCTAACTCGGACAATTTAGAATACCGTAGAAATGGAATATTACCGAGTCAGATGGGAAAATATGGAAAATAGTTTCACCAACGATTGCAAGAGAATGCTAGCTTGTCTCGGGGTTAACACGTGTTTCTGAAGCATAAATTTAGTTGCAGCTGAACGTCACAGATGGCGACGTTAGTCCTAAACAGTTGTTAGAATAATGAATTCACGGGATTTTGACAGTTTTACGTCGATCTCTTTATCATTAATTTACCGAAATGACATATGAAACGCTTCATTTCGTATCATTCTTAACGTAGACTGTAAAAGAAATCGACATAAATATAAATGTCGGTAACGTGACGCTCCAACATATGTTCCCACTTGAATATTCAAAACAATGTTACTACCAAAAGGGGTATAGATGAATTTTAATTTATCGACGTCAATTAAATTTCTCAGCGCCTATATCATCTTTAAACGAGTGATCGAAACCTTCGTATACATGCTCATTTATTCATAATTTCATGACTAGTCGCGAAAATAAAATGTTATTTCGTGTGTTTAATTTATCAGACTGGCTGGAGTATTTACGAAAAATTCAATTTTGTTAAAACCAAAAAAAAAAATTGCTTTGCTTTTATGCAAGGAAACGGTTGGGTCTAATCGTTCTCATGTATTGTACCTAGGAAAGATTGCCTTGAAAATTAGTTTCGTGCGTGTGTAACTAGTTCTATAAAATACCGTAGGCACTGCTGTTTTATCCATTTCGTCCCTACCTTATCAACATTTTAGATCTACGTTTGTCGGGTACCCAAAGCGAACAGATGATATCGTTTGACTGCAGTCGTCACCGTAACCAGTTTTTCCAGCAACACAGGATAGGCGATAGCACGGAGAGTCTCGTTATCGTAACCAACGATTACATATCGACTTCAAAAGAGTACGTTTTTAGGAAACACGTATACGCACTTCTTTCCAAGTTCGAAGACCGATAGACTCCGTTGCCGAACATTAACTCTTATCACTCCAACCGGCAGTAATACTGCCAACTTCTTATACTCATCTAATACATCTTGAAGTGATACGGGTTAAGTTACACGGAACAGAGTCATGGATTCGATAGCAATCATTTATAATTTAAAGAGACTTTTCTACACCGTTAGTTGATACCGTTAATTAATACCGCTTTTTCGTTTTAGTTGACTGTACAAAATCTAGGGACTTTTTAACGATTATAACGGAATACTTCTTGTAGTACTGAACGTACACTGGGAGACATCAATGCCCTCCCATCCTGCACAGGCGATGCCGTATCTGCAGGGGAGGCATTTATGTCCGCCATTGTACACTGGGAGACATCAATGCCCTCCCATCCTGCACAGGCGATGCCGTATCTGCAGGGGAGGCACTCATGTCCGCCATTGTAACTTCTGGCGAATCACACGTTGCTCGCCTAATGCTTTTGAACGTGCCATGTGCCCACGAGCTGATAAAACTGTCGATTTCCACTTTACATTAATGAAAACTAGGAGTGGCACTATCGGGGTACCGAATACGGCACTGCGGATATCGTTGCGTTATAAATAATAAAAAATATACGTCACGCCTCAAATTCCGAATTCTTCCCATTGTTACCCAGCGTAAAGGAGCAGCAACGAGAGCAAAGCGTATCTAATTTACAATGGACGGATAATGAACACTTGGTAAGCGGTACCTCTAGACAATTTACATGCAACGCATGTTAAGGTGATATGAAAGGGTCATTCTATATATCAAAACGTCTAATATTTATAAAGCTTTTTGCCAAACTGGGTGCAACGAATCATTTGAAACTTCAGTACGTGATTATAAATGCCCTAAGGAAGAACGCTATGCTCATGAAATTTTAATAATCGTAATCACGTCCTAAAGTTTCAAATAATTCGGTGAACTAAGTTTGGAGAAACGTTTTATAAGTACTTTGATGTTTTATATGATGATGATGATATGAAAGTGTGATTCTACATACATACATACATACATATAATGATACTTTCATATCATCTTAAATAGTTGTCCGTACTTAAAACGAAAAGACGATGCAGGATGAAATAGTTTAGTATACCATTCTCTGTCTCCACGCTTGCCAACATACAAAGTGCGGAGGCATGCTCCGTACTCCATACTTCAATATGAAACAAAAGGTCCGGGCAAATCGAATCAGCGTCGCGGGCCTCGTCGGCAGACCTTTTTGTTCCTGTAAAAAAGGGATCAGCCAGGAGGGTTCTTATCAACCGACGGCTCACCTTGGAGGACTTGCGTGACGCGAGGGTCTCGATGTGACACTGCCATTCCAAGCCGCGCAGGAATAGGAGATGCCAGCGCCTTTCGAGGGACCTGGCCACTCGAACTGCCTGAGACGGAGGTTCCTCCTCCTTTTGTTGGCCGGATATTCTTTCGCTCAATTTAACCACGGAGCTGACGATGCGGCCGTGCGCTTCGATGTCCCTTTGCAGTACCTGAAGCAAAAAGGAAGAGAGCAAATCGGTTAGCCGAGCTTGGAAAAAGATTCGGCAAACCGGTATGCAGTGCAAACGCCGCTGCCGGGTGGTTGCTGTAATCCCTAGAAGACGTAACGAGACTCGGAATGGAATCTCGGTACAAAATTTTCCCAAGATAGGTATCCAGATGGCTGTGTAAAGTAACTTTGGGTAATAAGACCCATATAGAGAGCAAGGCCCATGCTTATATATAGTAAAACATATAGTAAAAGTGCAATGCTTGCGGCTCCCTCTGCCAATTAGTAGGACGAAGAAGTGTCCATTGGGGGTATTGTCGGGGCTGTGGACAGGTCCATGGTAAATCGAGATTGATAAGAAATATTTCCGAGGGAATTTTATCAAATTTCGTTGCAGCGTTCAAGCTGTTTGTTCCAAAGCTTTGTGAAGTCCTGCTCTGTCCAGGAGCTATGCAGTACCTTGTACTTTTCTCTACATCCCGTTGGATGAGTTTTGTTGAAAAGGTTTGTCGTTTTACAAATGATGATTTTTTTTTTTTTTTTTCATAAAGGACATGAAACTGTGACTAGTTGCAGGAAATACAGCGTCGCGACAAAAGTCGAGCGAAATACCTTTAAAAAACAAAGCCTGACACTTCAAAGAGGACCAGGATCTGGGACAGCAGCCTTTATCAAGAAAATAGGGTTGCCGGCATCCGACAACGTGCTATGGGCAAGAAATGACTTTAGGAAGAATGCCCGAAAACGACATTCAAGGATCTTGATGACATAACTTGCCCTAACTGTGCAAGTTAATGTGCATCCTCCCATCGATGTCCGTAGGTCTTAGTACCTACGCGTTCTGGAAACAAAGTCCAAGAGCGCCATCCTGCAACTTTGTTAATTACGTAATTATAAAGAAATCGAAGTAAAACTTCAGAAATCCTCTGGTTTCATGATTTCTGGGGCCCTAATTGACTGCAGAGGGACCCCCTGCGCCATCTGTGATTTCCAGGTCAATTAAATTTTCACTCGTATTCCCATCATTTCAGCATGGAGGCGCATAAGACACTTTTTTTGCCTTTATCTCGTTCAAATGCAAGTTTATCGATTACCAGAGTGCTCTAAATTGTCGTAAAACTGTCCCGACCTTTTCGTTTTTCATATCAGAGACTCCGATAATTGTATATTGATCGACATATAAGAGCTCGATGCCTTTTTAGTTCTGGTCTGGGCTGAGTTAACAATTTTTTTCCAAAAATCCAAATTTAGAATGTGTCGGGACAATTCTTAAATGATCAGGAGTGATGTGTCAAAGTTTCGGACTGTTTGGTCTAATACCCTTAAAAAAAAAGTGTTGTAATCGAATCGACTGATTTGAAGGAGGTTTCACTTCACCTTAAGGAGAGCGAAGTGGATGGGACGAGCGATGGGAAAACTGGAATCGAAGGTCGCAGATTTGTTTTGCGATCTGGAATGGCTCTGCTCACGATGACCCAACGTTTTTGCATAAGCATGGGAAAAAAGCTACTCCGAAGAAGCTTCGAAGCTGCTCGTCAAATTGCTGCTCCGAAGTGGCGTTGAGTGCTATTCGCTGGGGTAATCGGACGAGAACATAATGAGGTTCTAAGCGAACGATGGGAAAACGCAATACGAACGGTGGGAACGCGTAAATTGTTTCGCGATCTTGAAGGTAATCGCGATGAGCTAATCTTTTTGCACTAAGATGAAGCAAAACACGTCGAGGAACTTGATCGACGTCGGTAAAAAAGATTTTCCTAAATATCTCCGTTGCTCACGTTTGTTTTTATATTCACAGCTATACCGAATTATATCGGATATTATACTAAATGGCATACTCCCCTGTCGCTTTCGTACAATAATTATAAACAAATCGAAGTAAAACTCCAGAAATCCTTTGGATTCGTGGTTTCTGAGGCCCTAATTGACTGCAGATTGACCCCCTGTGATTTCCGTGTCAACTAAATTTTCACTCCTACACCTCATATTACCATCGTTTTGGCCTAGCAGCATATAAGACACTTTTTTCGCCTTTATTCCGTTCAAATGCGAGTTTATCCATTACCAGAGTGTTCTTAATTGTCGCACAATTGTCCTGACCCTTTCGTTTCTCATATTAGACTCTCCAATAATTGAATATCGATGGAAATATGAGAGCTCGACGCCATTTTAGCCCTGGTCTAGGCTAAGTTAAGAAATTTTGTTCGAAAATCCAAACTTGAAAGTGTCAGGATGATTCCTAGGTGCACACGAGTCATGTGTCAAAGTTTCGGACAGGGTTATCCAATACCCTTAGAGAAAAGTGTCTTATTCGAGCCGACTGATGTGAGGGGGATTTCACTTCACCTTAAAGCTGGAATTCAATTCGAAGTGACTTTCCTAGGTGCTGCCTCGAAACGATGATGGCCAGGATCGTCGGCATAATCTCGGAAGACGAAATGAGGTTTTAAATGAAATCTCGGGGCCTGATAGATGCATCTAGGTATCCAGATGGGTACTCGTTACGTATCTACATCATAGTCCTACGAGAGCGTTCATACATCGTTAAACCTCCGATATCCTGTTTCAAGGAGAGCGAACTGGACGTGACGAGAGACAGGGAAACGGAAATTCAAGGCCAGAGATTTGTTCTGCAGTTCTTGAAAGGCTCTTCTCGCGATGACCTAATCCTTTTGCATAAACCCTGGAAAAGAGCAGCTACGAAGCAATGAACCGCACACGCCGGCTGGAAAGATTTGGGAGGAACGATGGTATTTTGAGCGCAGGAAAATTTGGAAAAAAATTCAGAATCGTTCACAGGATCGTCAATACATCAAGAATTTAATATATAAAAACCTCCTGTGCGAGAGAATCTTAATTCAACGTGATAATAGTGGAAGACAGAAATCCCTCACAAGGCGATTGTCCCTTTTTTAATCAATTCCGTTTGGAAGTGCACTGGGAGACATCAATGCCGTCCCATCCTGCATAGGCGATGCCGTATCTGCAGGGGAGGCATTCGTGTCCACCGTTGTACAGTACCGCTTGCTTGAAGGACCAAGACCCTCGTAATGTGTCATTCCCAAAATTCTGTGATCGTTTAAAAAATTGTCGAATAATTTTCTCGTATACTTGAGAATCTACGTTTTTCAACTACCTATCTACGACACGTCCGATGCCATTCCTTCCGATACACACGAAGGAACGAATAGGCGTTCTCTCGCGACAATCCTTCCCGCCCATCTTCACGTAACCGGAGAATTGTATTACGGGCCGCAGTGTCGAGAATCAGCCGTCTAAAATTATACCAGCCGATGCACATCTTGAATGAACCCCAGAACTCGTTCACACCATTCGCGTGCGAGATCGTTCGCCCGATAAAATGACTGCTGTTTTATTAGCAGGTTCAAGAACGCCGGGCCGGGGAATTCCTTCTTTTATGACCCGTGGTTGCAGGGGATCGAGACGAGTCGAACGAATGAGCAACCTTCCCTTTTACCTGGTTGGCAGACAAGCAGTCTGGAATAAATTACGCGACACGTGGGCCGGCCTAGGCGAGTCTTAAAAGTGCACCTGAGGAAAAGTCGCCGCAAGAAAGTCTAAGCGAGTTCGACAGGTTTCAAGGAGCAGCTGTCGACCCCCATGAAATCCGGGACGATGGCCACCGTCACTTTTTTTTTCTTTTCTTTCTTTTTGGATTCTGCTCTCTTCCTTTTTTGGAATACGAGGGGAACTAAAGACGCGCCTGTATCGAGTGTCATGCAAAAAATGGACGCAAGGTGCACGAACGTCTGCTCCCATATTGTGCCCAAAACGAGACAATAAAGTATCTTCACCTAGAAAAATAGTTTGCATTTAAAGAATAATTTTCTTTTCGCGAAATGGATCACTAAAGTGAAGTGAAACCCCCCTCTAATCAGTCGGTTCGAATAAGACACTTTTTTTTAAGGATATTGAATTGAACCGACTGAAACATTGACACATGACTCGTCAGCACCTAGGAATTATCTTGACACTTTCAAAATGTTAATTTTTGAACAAAATTTCATAACTTAGCCTAGAGCAGAACCAAAATGGCGTCGAGCTCTCATATTTCCATCGATATCCAATTATTGGAGGGTTTAATATGAGAAACGACAGGGTCAGGACAATTGTACGACAATTGAGAACACTCTGGTAATCGATAAACTCGCATTTGAACGGAATAAAGGCGAAAAAAGTGTCTTATATGCTGCTAGGCCAAAACGATGGGAATACGAGGTCTAGGAGTGAAGATTTAGATGACACGGAAATCACAGGGGGTCAATCTGCAGTCAATTAGGGCCTCAGAAACCACGAATCCAAAGGATTTCTGGAGTTTTACTTCGATTTGTTTATAATTATTGTACGAAAGCGACAGGGGAGTATGCCATTTAGTATAATATCCGATATAATTCGGTATAGCTGTCAATATAAAAACGAACGTCGGCAGCGTAGGTATTTAGAAAAAATCTTTTTACCGACGTCGATCAAGTTCCTCGACGTGTTTCACTTCACCTTAAATGGACAAGGAATACGAGATAAATGCTTTTCTAGTTCCTGGTACAAGTTATAAAAATGGTCACCTCCACGAACTTCGTAAAATAAATACTGCATGTTTTCGGAACATAGTATATACCGCTGACAATAGTATTTAGAAGCAGAGGGATAATTTGAGTTGCCGATAAGATCTAAAAAGTTTTGTCGGCAGTCCGTAAATATTTTTCGACCGTGATTTATGGTCCGTTTTTCGAGGAAACAGAGAAATCGACGGCGAAACTAAAGTAAAAGGGGTAATATTCTGTCGCCTTTGCAAATAAGGTATAATAAACAAAACAATTCTCTTCCCTTTTAACAAGCCACCTTTTCTTCTAAGATCGTGAGTTATTATATTTTTTATATCAGCGAGCTATTATGTATACTTAATGGAGCAATGTCAAGAGAATTAAAACAGGAAGAAAAATCGTCCAATTCTTAAAGAAAGTTCACATATGGGGGCAAGTA